ATTAAATTATCAGAAAAAAATGGGATTGAAATTTTTAGGAACTTTGAACTTCCAACTTTAACGAATAATAGATACACTTTAACAAATAATAATACCCATGTGTATTATTATGTATTATTTATAAAAGTTTCTTAAAATTAAAAGTTTCTGAAAATTTCTATCACATTTTTTTGATAGTTTTTAATACTTATTTTAATAATAAAACTCACCAAATATTACGCATTATTTCTATTATTATTATTCTAATTAAATGTAAAATATACAAAATAGGCAGATTACTATTTTTAAATTGATTTAATATATACGTAACATTAAATTAATTTGTTTAACATTTAATATATATTTTTATTTAATATAAATTTATTTAAATATATGTTTTTAAATCTACTGTTAAATGTTAATTAGTAACATATCTCTTGCTTTACGAGAGATATTAAATGATTGATTAAATCTGTTTTTTCTACACTGGGGTTTCTCGCGTTAGATCACTCTCTCGTGACAACTGCTCGAGGGATTTCCGCGACGAATCCACATAATAAGCGTCAAGAAAGTCTAGAAAGGTCCGTGACGAAATCCTGTAATTTCGCTCAGAGGCGTGACCCTGTTGCGGGCGACGATACAACAGGGTCGGTGCATTGTTAGCGGCGCATCAAAATCGGATCAGATGAACACGTGCGAAATCCGGAGGATGGCATTTACGTGGCTCGCTCCGTTTATTCCAGTGAATTCGGCTGGAATCGCCCCATTTTAGTAATGCACTGTGTAATGCAGGGTGCTACGGATCCATATGGAATTTCAGAAAAATTTAGTACGCAGAATTGCTTCTCAAATAAGATACATTGCAATTATGTTAATTTTAATACATTTTTTATATTTACATCAGGTATAATTAAATATATCAGATATAATAAATATTTATGATCTATCATAAACATAATGATTGAAATTAATAAGATAAAGATAAGTTGTGTGACTAAGAAATTAGTAATTTATTTTTTTGCAAAATGAACTTAAAAAAGCGAACAATAATGATATTTAACATAAACGATATAATAATATCGAAATTTTAAGGCGATATATAACATAATTTGAACTGGAAAGCAATAACTCTCTGTCAAAACCTCAATTCCAAAACGATTTTGTAATAAATATTTAAGACATTCTTTGTGAAAATTATAATAAAAATGTGGGAACATTAAATAATAAGAATTTATCAATTTTAATTAAAAAAAAATAATGTACAGATTTTAATAATAGGGTGTTTAATGTCGAGTTTTAATCTATAAGTTTTGAGAATAAAAAATTTTCAAGGGTTAATTTCTCTCAATATGAATTCTTGCCGATTCTTTCCAAGGTTGACCTATTTCTCTTTCGCAGAATATGCAAGTAAAATTTAATTTTACGTTTGATTTCATAACGTATCATGTCGGTTGCTCTAGAAAATGACGGCAGAAAGAGCTGGAGCTTACCGGCGCCGACGCTCAGAACATCGATCCGGGGCGTCAGCTTGCAGTTATGTATATAGTTCGTATTACGGCAGAGGGTTGTATTAAACATCCACGTCGTTCTCTACTTGCGCCTACAATTCTAACGCATACCGTTTATCAAATATTTCGAATGATATTACGTTCACGCATGACATTTTTTCGCGCTTCAAACTTGTAATTAATTGGTATACGATTTTGTCGCGATCTAAGGAAGAATACACCTATAATTACAAAGTATCGGTCCTGTTGTCAAATGTGTTCAGTAAATATTCTTAGAATTTTTAAAAAAGATACAACTATATAAATATAAATAATTTTAAAATATAGAAATGAAGAGATACATATATATTTGTAAAAAATATTATAGATTAATTTTCTTTGATTTTTAGAAGAAATTGATTAAAACGATATTAAACTCTATAAGTATATTTTTTAAATTCTTTGGAGTAGAATTTTATTATAAATGTTACAATGTAAATTAAACTAGGCTTGAAAAAAGAATGACTTTTCAATCTTTAAGAGGGCGGAGAAATTTTATTCTATAGAAATCCATTCCAAAAGTTTTGGAGAATCAATGAATGCTATTAGGTTTCTAATTGACATTTACCAAATATTTTGAAATATATAGATTTCTTAAAATACTTCTAATATATATATTCCTAATATATATTATTTTTAATGCACAAACAAAATAATTTTGCATAAAGATAAATTTCGACTATTTAAGCGATAAATCTATCTCTAAACGAAAATCGGAAAACGATTTGTCGTGCTATTGGGAGGCGAGAATATAGGGAGTTTCGGGGATGAAAAAACGTAGCGGAGGAATAAATCATACGCCACTCACGCGACGTAATTAGAGCGTTTCTGGGATGCGGAAATGTCGCAAAGCGAGGGGATGCGTCGGGGAATAACTAATAACTTTATGCAACCACCTCCCCACCCCTCGTCGAAGTCACCCTGGGGGAGCATAAACACGAGATCCGATTTGACACGCGGAAACGCGCGATGTTTATACGCGCTCGTTGTAAGGGTCGGTCTCTCGCTCTCTTAGCCGCGTCAAGTGACACGGCTAATATCTATTTAATTGATTCAGGGATGGAGCGCACCCCTCAAACTGCTCTCTTGCTCGCAAACAATATGTTGGCTGTCCCTCGAAAGGATGGAAAAAGCGCGCACGTGTCCGTTGAAATCACAAATTGACTCTATGCCATCGATTTGACGTAGAGCCAATTATAGACAGGAAGGATTATCAAAAACAATCGCCGTAAAATCAGTTGCCGAGTTGTTCCTGTAACGTTACTTTTATGCAAAAGAAAAAAAGAGAATTTAGCAGGCTTTCTTTGGAACCATTCTCGTGTGGTTTAAGGATACGTCAGTCAGCTATTATTTTTTATTGTATAAAATTGAAATTTGTCATCATTTTTGAAGTTATAACATTATAATAATAAAAATAAAAATGCAAGAAATAAACAATAAAAATATTTTGTTAAATAAATTACAAGGTGTAATATTCATACAATTGTTACGTATTTATATTTATTTTTATATGAATAGTATAAATATCAAAAATATAAATATTAATAAATACTTAATTTTAAACTTTTTGCAGAGACTAAACAGCTGATACATCTTTAATTATTAACTTAAGAATTATAAGAAAAATATATATTATGAAAAATAATATCTCAACAAATAAGTTTCATTTTAGATTGTTTTATTCAAACATTTGTAACATAGATATATACTTATATATATTTTGATATTTTTATGAGCACGCTGTTTACTATTTTACAAATACAGTTAATCTACGGTTAATATCTATTACGTATTCTCAGTACTGGTTTACAATATCAAAAGTTGCATGTCAAGTGTTCACAATCGGGATATTTCTTCATACAATTTCAAGCGTAATATTACCTTAACCAGGACATTTTCTTTGGCTCGGATAAACACTTCCTCTCCAGTACTTACTACTATACATAAAAAAACACGTGAGAAACGTAATATCTTCAATTACACATGCAGTCACACAATAAGATATTTAAGATTTTCGTTGTCATTGTCAACATCGTTAGTTAGCGCATGTATACATTTTCAGTCTCGTACATTCGGTAACTTCAAGAAAATATGGCTATTGATTTAAAAAACTATTACAGTATATCTTAAAGAGAAGAACAAAATCTAGTAAATATAAATTTTTACATTTCTCAAGATAGCAACGTGTCTGTCTTGATGCTGGCATGTTGCTTGCTAAGTATGTGTTGTTAAGTATTGTATGTGTTGCTATCAAAATTGCAACGAGTCTATATTTATTGGTAACTTTAAAATCGTTATCATCAAAGTTCATACTATTGCTGTCATGTTGCCATAGTAATATGCAGCACAATACTGTTATATTGCCGGCAACACAAGTTAACATTGATGTAGCTATTTTATCGTTAAACTATTAGTAAAATGTACATGTATATACATATTCAATAAAATGTAATTTTCTTACGGACTCTCTTCTTTAAAAAAACGAATGTAAAGTGTTCCTAAGAACAGGCAAATGAGAGTCAACTCGGTTGGTGTTGAGTTATAATCCGTTTATTGGAAATTAAAAATTATGAACGAAACGCTTAGGAACACTTTACATTCGTTTTTTTATATACATATTGTTGCCTGCATGTTGCTACAATATCGGTATATTCGAAATCGTTGAAGATAAATCTACGGCAAATTGCCAGCATCATAAGCAATTTGTGCAATTTTGCTGAGACACGTTTTGCTATCTAAGCCTATCTAAAATGCCTCTTTTGTAATATATACTTTTTTCTCTTCTTCTATTTAGTCATCCTTATATTTAATTGAAGCACACGTAATAGCTATGTTCATCTACATAGCGTTTGTACATCTGCAGTAATCTCTTTAGAAAAGAGGTAATCTTCTATGTAATTACGATTCACAGTCAACAGCGATGATCCTAGACAGTATTACTGTGCAAAATCTTATTTAAGAATTTTAAAAAATGATAAACGATTAAAAATGTATCATCGATCTATTCCCTTGATTAAAAATTTTTTATTTAAAAAAAAATGGATTTTTACAAATAATGTAAATATGTTAAATTAAAATTAAAAAATAAAACGCGATATGATAATGTGATATGTAAGTAAAAAAATTAATTTTTCTTTCTCACTATTATCAGTCGAGTAATTCAATTGATCTTTTTATAAAAAATTTCATACATTCTAAGTTAAACTGCTACTTTATTTAAAGTGATAAATTATCATAATTTTAATCTATTTGTATTGATAAAATATAATATTTTTAAGTTACAAAGCGATTTAGAAACATTAATCGCTTTCTAGAGATATTTCTCGAGCTAAAACAAGAATATATCGTCTTTGATTTAATATTTCATTTATATAACTATAAGATATATCGCTATAAAGATTGGAAGGAGATGGGGTTTAAAAGTTTCGCTATTATAACTCTCTCTAAGTGACTGGTCCTGGTTGTATACTTTTATCAGCCTTAATGAATAATGCTACGAAACATCAAAATGACTGTTCAGCCCTGTTTAATTAATACTTGCTGCATTTTAATACTTTTGTCGTCTAAGAAACTATCCTTTCTAAAATTCTACTAGTGTAAAACGCTACGTTATAAGAATAGATCTAATATCACGTGTGTGTCGGAAAAAATATCAAAGTAAGTAAATTAATTTGCGTTTGAATATCTATTTCTTTTCTTCTTCTTTAACATCAAAGCCCACGGTGACGTTAGAGCTATCCGTGAGACTACTGGCTACAGTGAGTAAAGGTTCCTCTTGCTGGCTCGTTTTCAAGGAATGTGTCGGATCCGTGCTTAATTTCCAGTTTTCCAGATCTGCGTCCGACATCGTCGAGAACGAACTTTGCCTCGAGTAACTGAAAGTCGTATCAGGTTTCGGTGCAACTGGCTTTGGCGTCGTGACGCTCTGCGAACGAGAAAAGTTCTTTCGCTTCTGAGAATTGATGTGCGAGCCACCGCACTTTTTGGAATCCTTCTTTGCCTTTTCCGCAATGGATTTACCAGTACTCTTAGTGTCGGATTTCTGAGAGGTAGAGAGTTTCATTTTGTCGGAAGTACTGGCGTTGTCAGTATCCTTAATTCGAACATCACCGTGCGATATATCCATGCTCTCCACCAGGAAACTATAGTAAACAAATAATGCTGTGATAAATATTTATATATATATATATATATATAGCTGCCGCTTAGTTTCGTAGCAGAAGGATTAATGTCATCTCTCTGCTCGAATATCGATTGAACGTCTTGTTTCTTTTGTTCCTCGCTCTGTTTTAAAGTCAACGTGTGGTCCTCGTCTTCATCGATATTATCGCAGGGAACATCATCGCCACATACGAGCTGCTTCGTCTGTGCGCCGCTGGCACTTGATTGTATCGTTTGCGGTATTTGTGTTATTTTACGTATCTGACCATCTTCGTTGCTGTAATAATCCGTATATGAGACGCTTCCGCGACTTTCTCGATTCTCTTGATCAAGACGAATACAAAATTCGTTAAAGTCTACATCCAGGCAGGAGGTCGGGGAGAATTTCGGCGCGATAAAGAGTTGAGCACTGTGAAGGGAGAGGTGTTATTTTTCTAATACTACTACATTCAACGTACAACGTAGTAAGATATTAGAGAGATATGTAAAATCTAAATTAACCAACAAAGATAAAATCACAAAGTGATGTATTTAGTAAATTTAGGAAATGTAAGTAACTAAATTAGTAGTTAATTAATCACATAAATTCCACACATAAAAAGAGAAAAAAATACAAAAATAGAAATAGATCAAATTTATAAAGTTTCAAGACTTACCTTTCGTTGCTTATTAAGCTTATAGACATGCTGCATTCGCCTGTCGATGTTGGTGCTGGTGACGATGGCTCGGAGGATAGAAAAGATTGTGGCTCACTACTCCATCCTGTACCTGCACGATACATAAAAGATTATTTAAGTGAAATTGATATTACTACTACAGTTAGATAGGATAGATACGCACTGTTCGGGCTGGTAGGTGATGGTAGATTCCTAGTATCACACGTTTCTGCTTCACCAAGAGGCTTATACTGTATCGGTGTCGGCATAATATACCTATGCATAGTGGTAACGTGATAATGCATTAAATATCAAACAATCATAGCTCGCATACTAGAATTTTTAGTAACTACATTATAAAACGATATATGTAAATATAATCAAACAATTATTTAAACAAAAAGAGACGTATAGTAAAATATAACACTCATCGGAATAAGTTTAGGAACGTTCTCTTACTCAAAATACAGGGGATTGGTGCAGAGGAAAGAACTAAATACTCACGGGCATGTTTTATGTAATTTCTTACGGTACCTGACAGCTTCCGTGTCGGAAGAGTGGTACTCGCGACTAATCCCGGCATGGACGAGAGGTGGATTAAGCGATTCGTGCGTCGATCCGGCCGGCGACGACTTAGGCGGCGACGAGGCCGGAGTCCTATACAACGGCGCCGTGGTCATCATCTCCAAAAAGCAATCTAGTTGACGTAGCGACAACGCGTTATGTAGAGTTTCCAAAGGTCTGATGGGAGGCACCCCGCCAAAACCTTCTATCGCTATAAAATAAACGCATCAATTAGAAATCATATTTCATTATTTTATTTTCTCTTTTATCCGGTTTTTTTTATTTTATCAGCTAAATTGTTGATAAAATACCGAGTTTCAGAATTTCTACTATTGTATATCTGATTGATTTCAGATTATTCATATTGAATGATAAACTATTCGGATAAGACAATTCAAATTCGGATAAGATTTAATGCATTTCATAGATTTCATATTATTCAACAATTCTATTAATAATATAGGCTCAAGAGATTAAATCTAAATAAATATAAATTAATGCCAATGTAAGTCAATACTAGTTGTTCGTGTGAATTGTAGATAATTTTATTAGAAATTATACAATAATATAAATAAACGTTTCGACCTTTCGTTTAGGTCCTAATACTGATGAGGACCTAAACGAAAGATCGAAACGTTTATTTATATTATCGTATAATTTCTAATAAAGTTACCTACAATTCATACGAACAACTACTGTTGGCTCACATTGGCATTAATTTATATTTGTTTAGATTTATATTATTCGGGAGTTACGGAGTTTGTGACTCCGAAATCTTAAATTATCTTCCTAATTTTATATTAAGCATAAAACTACTGAGCGTTAGTTATTTATATTATTATATGTTAATTAAATATAATAATCTAAAGATTGCTTTACCAGCAACCGCAGACGCATGAGGTGGTACCATGTCTTTCAGATTCGGAGCGCTCGAGGAACCGCTTATTACGGCGGTACTGAAGAGACTGTTGGCTGAGCCAGTGAGCTTCTTGCTGACATTGTAGCCCAGCAGCTTGAAATAACTCATCTGTCCGGAGATACTGTGACGGTGGCGCCTTGCTGTGCAGGTAGGATCAGGTTGAATGATCCGCGATCGTGTGTCTAGGGGTGGAGAAAGGGAATGAGGCTTGGACATGGGATGTCTGGATGGACTCAAGACGCTGATAGATACTCCGGACAGTGATGATGAGTAGTCTCATGGATTGATGGTAGTGATAACGGTGAATATTTGTTATATGTATACAAATGGCATGTCTTTATTAAAAGCCGGCAGAGATCGATTGTGAGGCTTTAAATTCTATCACGACATACTCGTACTCGTGCTCGTGCTCGTGCCCGTGCTTGAATTTGTGTTCGCGTTTCAAGGTGAAAAGAGGAACATTAATAATCAGAAAGAGACAACAGAGCGATAACGAGCAAAGCGAATCGGTGAGCATAGGACTATTCCCACAAATATTAATTATTACACTAATTATCGATTAATTCGCTATCTCTTTCTAAAAATAAGTTAAAAAGAAATAGAAGATTAGAACTCGAATCAAATCTCGATTAGTGGGAATAATCCATATTAGAAAACAAAAACTGGTGTTGGTCTTCCTTCGAGAAAAAGAATATCAAGCTAATAGAACAAATCAGCAAAATATTATAACGAATAAAGAATTAAACTTTGTGAATGCCCAACTCTAATTTGTTGTAATACTTATGTTGTAGTAAATAGTTTCTTGACTATTTCCCTTTCTTTTATAATTTTGGTCTCCTTTGATTCGTTAAATAACTTCTTTATCTGACATAATTTTGTCAAATCTGGAATACGGGAAAATAATGTGGCAATTCACGTAGAATCAATTTTGTATTGATCTCGTGAATCGAGATTTCCAGCATCTGATATTGAGGTCACAGAAACTTCAGAGTAGCGCGTGGAAGAAATAACTCAGTCGTGTCCAACTTGTGTGTCAATGCCAATAAGAGTTCGTAAGAGAAATCATCAACGAAAGGACAGCATAAAACGTTATTTATTGAGTGATTTAAAAATAATGTTAATCTCGACTGTCATCGGATGTTGTATAATATATAACGTACGTTATATTATACAATATTTACTTCTTTATATTACTAACTCTTATAAACTTTTTCGCTTTCTTTGGCACATACAGCTTTCTTTTTCCAATACTTTCTCATTGCTTATAATTGTTTTATTAATAAAAATACCATACATTTTTTCGGTATATTTAATGTATGGTGTTTCGATTGAGAAACATTTTTTTTACAGTAAGTTCATTTTTATGAAATTATAAGCAATCAAATTGGGTGGATATACTATAATATGCTATAATGTATTGTTGCTGTAGTGTGGTGTTTGGGCTAAAAAAAGTCTCATTGACATTGATACTAGGATTAGATCATATTGAGAGAAATGTTTCATGATTAATTAAAAAATTCTAGTTGAAAATGGACAAATTAGAATTACTTGATTAAATCTACTAAATTCTAATATGATGACAACTGGAATTCCAATTGATATCGAAAATTGAAAATTTTCTGGTTTATTCATTTTCAACTAAACATTTTTCTCAGTGCAGATTCTTTCGCACGCTACTCCGATATGCGACGATTTCTCCGTTAATCCGCATGAAGTTTGTCGTTACCCTTGAACTCACCGCAGAGTTCGACGGATGAGAGCAAGGTCACTTCAGAGCGCGATCGTTCATACTTTCTGCCGCGGCCACGATACCCGGTGACAGTCCGCCGCTCCGGCAGGTTGCTGGCGGGCGTGAATGACGGATCGGGCAACGAGCAAGGGTTGGCGGATAGTTGCCTATCGTTGCGAGCATTGCGAAGCGAGCACGAAGAAGCGAAGCTCTCGTCCGGCGAAACCGGTAGCTCCGGCGAGCTATGCGACTGCAGCAACGTCATCGGTTTCCACGTGCATTCCTCGTCGCGAGATTCCTCCGGAGTTGGCCCCGCGGCTGATAGCGAGTTGCGTTGCGTAGCGGTGCATTGCGATGCGATGCGGTGCGTGAGAAGAGTGCAAGATGCGCAGGCAATAGATCCAGATGTGATAGCGTTATCAGAAGGGGACGGCAGGCAGGGTACGGTGCAGCATTTGGAATGACGGTGTAGTGAGAGGAAGAGAGAAAAGAAAACAAAAGAGAGAAAGAGCCGATTAAAAAATTTGCTAAAGAACTGGAAAAAACGAATCTTTGTAAATTTAGTAAACTTAGTTTTGATTAATAAAATTCAATCTTGATCACAATGTCTAGTCTGATACGGGGATAAAAAATATTGTCACTTTATTAAGTATCTCGTGACATACTTTGTTTTAGTTACGTGTTTCAGTTACGGTACGTGTTACAGAGATTATGAATAATTCCAAAATTATATATATATATATATATATAATCTCATATATCAAAATCTCTGTAATATATATAATAAGAATCGTTACCGTAAAGATTTAAAAATCTGTTATAAATACTGCATTTACATTTTTATACAATATATATGTAGTACACTATAAATAAATAATGTACTATTATATGTATAAAATATCTATAAATATTGTATATAGAAAATAATTTTTGAATAATCTCGTGTATAATAAAAAAAAATTTTTGAATCTAAATTAAACGAACTATATTGACGCTTGAAAGAATTACAAATATTACATTTTAATTGTTTCGGCGTTTAAAGATTCGTTAAGGGAAAAATAAAGTAAGTTAAGGATAGAGTATACCTTCCACCCACTGCGGATAGTTTAGTGAGAGTATGTCGGATTCACGAGTACGCACACCATACAACAACCGTGACACACGATAGCCATGCAACCAGTAAGCCAACCATACCACACGACTTTTTACATACATAGACAGCCTCGTACATTGAAGTTTGTTAGAATACCGAAGCTCAAATAGCATTAGTATACAATCGTGATGATATAATGGAAAGATATGATGCTTCGTTTGATCAGAGTCCCTTTTTCTTTTTGACTATCGTTGTGAATTTTATACATGAACGAAGAAGAGGAACGAGGTGATGATGTTATGTTTTGTGAATTACTTATTCAAAGGTAATAAATTTGGCGATCAATGAAAGTGGCGGCAGTGAAAGATGAACATGACGATAACAACAAATCAACATGAAACGCGAATACAAAAAAAAGAAGCTGTGAATATTCGATGAGCTTTGACAAGTATTGTTTGAAAAAATCGATGATATGAAATTCAATGACAATTTGGATGAACTTATACGATGAACGTATAACGAATACACTTAGAACTCCAAAAAGGAAGACTCGATGGTAATGAAGATGTATGAGTTTCGTGGAGATGATCTTAGGATCGAGGGTTCGGGTGGGCAGCTAAATGGACCACACTACAGTGCGTGTGTGGCCCAAATAGTTGCCGATACTTGATTAGTTGGCTTCCACGCGCACAACTATCGCTGAGCAAAGAGTTATTTCAACTGGAATCACCGCTTCCTACCCTGGCATTGGCAAAATACACATCTCTCGGCTGTACTACATGAAACAAGACACATTAAACTTTTCCGGATAGATCGCCCTATCCGGATAGATGAACCAGATCGTGTTTCGCACCTCGTCCGGTGTTCTAGAGATCCAGCCATTAACAAAAATAAAAGAAAAAACGATACGAATCCTTCATCTTGTTTATACAGTATACGTGCGGTTTATAGAATTGATTAAAGGAAAAATAACGAAATCAACAAATGTAGATTACAACTCGCAACGTATCGTGAAAAATTAACTCGGGCAAAATATACAAGATTAATTTACTGAGAAAGGGATGAGACTATACTAGAGATACGAAACTATAGCTATAGCTACGAGGTATAAGGTGTAGGATGTGAGAATTGGCAGTTACACTTTAATCAACATTTTGTAATACCGATGATGTGCATAAGCGCATTCCGGATACTGACATCGATCCAACAACTATGCACATTAATTGCAACAAAAAATTAAAAATTCGCTGAATTATCTGCATTATATGAGAATAAGAATTGTGCTACGTTTGATAGGAAATTTTATCACAGCATAATTATGCAATAGTTGACAGAATTATTTCATTGTAACATATGCATAAGAGTTTCTATAGGAAAAAAAAACATTTTATATTTAAAGAAAAAAAATGTATATATGGAACGGATCTACTCGAGTATGAAATAAATAAGGATACGTAAAGTATCATCTGAAAGTTTACGTGTACATTACTTTGAAAAATCATTTTATAACAAATTGGTAGCCGGTAAAAACATACCTTCTTTGTTGACCGCGTCCAAGCTCTGATACTGCAGCTTGTCCGCAGCTACAAAAAGAGAACAGTAGAACACAGAAGGGAGCATTGTGGCGACATTCCACCATCAATTCAATTGCCAGTAATTAGCCTCTAAAAGCTCTAATATCTCGAGGTCTTCGTTAACATAACACATAACATATATAAAACGTTATTATATATTTATGCGTATTTTTGCAAAGCTATCTTTTTTGAAGAGAAAACGAAGATATCTTTACACAATACTGTTGTTATTATATTGTATAATCGATCCATGCGACAAATTTTATAACAAATTGGTAGCCGCTAAAAACATACCTTCTTTGTTGACCGCGTCCAAGCTCTGATACTGCAGCTTGTCCGCAGCTACAAAAAGAGAACAGTAGAACACAGAAGGGAGCATTGTGGCGACATTCCACCATCAATTCAATTGCCAGTAATTAGCCTCTAAAAGCTCTAATATCTCGAGGTCTTCGTTAACATAACACATAACATATATAAAACGTTATTATATATTTATGCGTATTTTTGCAAAGCTATCTTTTTTGAAGAGAAAACGAAGATATCTTTACACAATACTGTTGTTATTATATTGTATAATCGATCCATGCGACACATATTTCGTAAAAATTATAAATTTAAATCTCTGCTCTTATTTAGACTCTTGTAACAAGAAACGTCTACAAATTTAAAACACGATTTTACCTCAAAATTTAGAGACAAGTAATATTAATCTTTTATAAAAATATCATAAAATTTCTAATTACAAATACTGTAAAAATTTCACAATAATCGAATCATTGATTCATTAAATTAAAACGTTGAATACCAAACACGGTTTAAACTTCGATATATTTTTCGTTAATAACTACATATACAAGGAAAATAGGATTTATCGTGATAAAATATAATTTCATGGAGTGAATCTATTATATAATTTGGAAGGGAGGATACGGCATTCATATGTAGCATACTATAAATATCGATAACTGCCATTAAGGTGGTATACGAATATATAAAGAAGACCAATAATCAATAATTATAATCATGCACAAACCATTAAACGTGTTAAGGATACTGTAAACGTCTTACATACACATTTCGTATATTCGTGTGTATGTATGCGTATACACGCATTATGTACCATATACAGCAAGTATAGACTGTTAATATTACATCTTGACCAAATATCGCTCGTTTATCAGCGACATCCTTCACACTTACTGCACTAAATCTGCTCACCGATATGGACAACTTGCACATTAAGGCGCACTTACCTTTTTCGGGCTTTTCTTGCCGTTGATGATCGTAGCTTCGCGCACGTGGTTCCACAATGTTCCCTGCTTCCTTGCTTCGGCGTTGTCGCTGACTTGCTGCCAATTGACTGCCAAGTCTAGCAGCTTCGTGGCCGGCCACAGTTCTAGCGCTGTACATACCGTAACATTAAATAAAACTCTTATTTTTGACATATTATTTTATCAGGATGATGAACGTATATATAAAAAAATATTTAATGCAAATTGCATATAAGTTAATAGTAAACCTGATCGGAATCGGTGCCGAACCCTGCAAAAATCCGCTATCATACGGTTCGTCCATCATATTCGGATCTAAATCCATCATATCGATCCCACGACTGGTCGTCGGACTGTCTAGCATAGAGTCCATAGTGTCTGTTTCCATTAATGGTGGGGGTGTATCCTGAAAACAAATTTTTGTCTATTGTACTCTATTTAAACGATTAAGAACAAAATAATACTTGTCAAAAATTAATAGATAAACTGTATTTACTGCTTGCGCTATGGGATTTATTAAATCGTCTTCGATAATACCCAATTCCGCATCTTCCTCCTCTATCCGAGTGCTACATTGTGAACTAGTATCTTGACCAGAACCACCACTCTCCCCCTTAAAAGAAATAAATAATTCATTAATTTGTATTAAGATAGCGTATTATACAAATAAATTAAAATCTTACCACATTATGACTGCTCTCATTGCGTGAGTGTGGTCTAAATCCAGGACCAGGTGGCAGATTTTTCTGCACGCAACAATTAACACCAGGACTGAAATGCAATTCGACATGAAAACGTTCCTCACTGCATGGATCTTTGGTCGGATCCTCGTACAACATTACAACAATTTGTGACATGTAGTTCAACTCGGAAACCATACTGACGTATTCCATCGCACGTCGCCATTGTTCGTCTTTCACCACCTGCAAATCGATATGTAAGACATTAGAAAACAAGACAGAAAATTATTTCTTCTAACTATAATATAGACACTGTTACTTACATCGAGTAAATCACCATAACGCAACACGGTTAGCAAGGAATGTACATGGCTCTCACTTGTGAAATACAGTCTCGTACGTACATGGCGTCCTGGACTCGAGACACCATGGGAATATCTATAGATCATTAACAATGATTGTATAGTTGTCAAAAAAAGTCTTAAACTGTTAAAGAAAAAAATTCTTTAAAAACAAGACTTAATTGTCATACCTAGGATTAAGTCTATTTACAGTCTCCTCAGATTCCTCGATATTTCGTTGTAGATCAGCCCGTATTTTTTTCAATAAAGGCGTACATATACCTTGACCAATAGTCATTTTCTCTTGTACCGTTAAACCGTATTCCTGCGCATTAATTATATAATAAAATTTACAGATAGAAAAAATATTAATATAGAGACTTTATGGTCAAAATAAATTATACCTGAGGGATTACTATATCCGCTAGAGATTTAGCGTACGTATACAATTCTTCAGCGTGTTCGAATTGCAATGTATGATTATTGTGTTGTAGATCGTATTTTATACAATCGTAAATATCAGGAATTTTAGATATGTCGAAACGTTTGTTTTTCGTGCAAAAATCTTTTTCTATCTTTCCCCAGCGACGTCCCATCAGTTCCCATGTTTCACCATGATAGAGTATTGTATCCTTTGTCTTTGGATCTTCCTTTTTGATTCGCACGATGTCTAGGAGTTTTTGAATGAGAGTGTGAACGTGTTGGCAACATCGGACCGGATTTTTGACAAAATCTAAAGCGGCATTGATGCTGAGCGCATTTCCCGGATTGATCTGTTCTCGATCCTCCCGTGTAAATTCTCTATCCTGTTGTAGCAGCTCGTGCAAGCGCGTTTTTACCCTATAATTATAAACATCATGTATCATGCAGAAAACAATTCAGGCGTTTAGTGAAGATCTACTCACATATTTTGATATTTGCTACTATCGCAGTCGTTATCCAGAAGACCATTAGTATTCGCGCTTTTCACCATCTGCACTAAAATAGGAGTCAGCTCTCCCTCCAGTGCAAGTAATCCCTTCGCAAAAGCCGCCGCAGTCATTTGAACGCGTCCCTCATCGCTAGCATAGATCTTCAAGTCGTGGCGAAACGTGGAGTGTAAGCGTAACAAACCCAATCCTTGCGCACCTGCATATTCACCTACGTTTACACAAGGGGGAATAATATCAACATACCGGACGGGATTCCTCCTGTCACAGCTATCATTATCATCGAACACAACAACGGAACAATTTAGAGATTACTCAAAAAAAAAAAAAAAGTTATTGAGATGACCTACGCTCTAGTATCGAGATCATTGTTGGGACATCGTGATATTGTAAAGATATATTAATCGGAATTAATTATATTATTTTAATTAACGTTGTAATATAACATGAAAGGTACTGCAAGAAGTTTTTCATGTCTCTAAATGTTTTAGAGTTACCTTAAAACTCCTCTGTTGGTATTTTAAAAGAAAATTACTTTTCGAAGAACACATATTGTACAAAAAATACGTGCACATCTTATATATAAAAATTATATTTAACGTATTGTAGTGCCGTTAAAAACAAAACTAACGGAAACATACATTAGCATAGAAAAAGCGTGTGGCGAGAGGTAAGTGTGATGTATGCTAAAATCATGCTATTCTCTAATTGCCGACAACGGCTTATTTATAAGTCAAGTGGCAACTCGAGAACTCGTTCAAATAAAGAGATACAAAGTGTGCAAGTGTACTCTTACTGTTAGCGCCGTCGACCGTAACATCGCTATTTCTAAAGACAGCAATACAATCTACAGAGAACTATGGAATAAGCGTGGATCGTAAATAAAAGGTTACCGTGATTTGGTAACATCTCTGATTCTTCCTCTGAAATAACATTTGAGATAAATTATCCTATATATGACTCTCGAAAGTGTAATATTACTACATCTCACTATTAACTACCGATTAGATATGATTGCCAATATGGTTGTTAGTGCCACAGTAGTTGCTACACTGGCAATTACTTTCGCACAAATTTGATATTACTCTTAAATAGCTTTTACATTTCTTATACAAGAGAGTGATGTAAATTACGTGAAAATACGATTCAATATCAATACGCCAATCTTTTTAAGCCGTTCAACAACTTGTACAATATAGCATTCTCAAGATACAATAATTCATACCGAAAGCCTGCAGGCTTTCAGATTATACTTCATATATATCACAGGTAAACCCAGATCAGGTTTAGCTAATAGAGGAAAATTATTATAGAAACGATTTTCGATACTGTGTAGAAACTTAAAAGCGAGCATGGCAAGCATATGAACATAAGATACGAACCACTAAGGTGTCTACCTTGACCACCGGGGTACATGCAGCGGAATATGCGTCCTAATTCTTCCGCCTGAATACGTCCAGCCGGCGTCAGTTCTCCGCCCCACTTCAATATCAAAACGAGAGATGGTTCTCCTAATCGATCTAAAAGAGAAAAAGTGAAGAAGTACGCGTATTTCTTCATATACATAATTTTCTATAAAATGTGTATCTATTAAATATATTATATATCATCAAAAACAACGGAGATATTTTAGATGGTCGAGTTAGAGGAAACACCCTGTATATTATAACCCCTGAGTGTTTTTATCGATAAAAATACGCGATTTTATTTCTAAAATTCTATAATAGAGGTAACATGAATTATATGGTAAATGTGTCCTAATATCGTGTTCTGACTATGGACCTATATAAATATAAATATATTCATTATATCCTTAAAAATACATATCGTATATATATATATATATATATATATATATTTTATGTAAAATAGTGAAAAAACAAAGGAAGCATACCAAGACCACTACCGTCGTCGGAAGAACTTCCCCGCGGCCGTCCTCGCGGTTGATACTTTAATTGGACTTTGCGATTTATGCCAGAGAAATGTCCGTACCTACGACGTAGAGTCAACAATTTTATTACAAATTTGGTTGTCTTACTCAATTGTGTAATATTAATCATTGTGTAATAATAATCATATGTTTCATTAATTCATTAAAGTACTACACTATTTTGCTTATTGTTACATACATTTCTAAGACACTTTTAAGTTGCTCCAATTTCCCTTGTTTTTCTTCCAACTCGGGACCCGCCGCACGATGTTGTATTTCCGCTAATAGACTACGCGCTGTATCGAGAATCTCTTGTAGCTGCTTAGGGCGCTTTAGTTTGACATGACCGTGCTTATAACCATCGTACTTTGCAAATATCTCAAAAAATCTGTGAGACATTATATATATTTTAACTTATGATATTTTTGGATAAGAAAACATAAAATCTTGGTTACTCACTTAGGATGACGCACTTCTACTTTCATCTTCTGTTTTGGGGTTCTATCACCGTGTCTAATAACTGCTACAACACAGCGTAATTCCATCCTAGATAAATATCGAATTAGTAATGATTGAAAAACATGCTGCAGTATTAAAAACGCAATTGAATATAGTTTAATTATCACTGCGGTTAGACTAACATTTTACCAAACGTAGTTGGCACGATAGGAGGATCGTCTAATTGAAATGGAACGCTCCACGGAATATGCAACGTGGGAGCCAGTTCCCTAAGTATCATATTTCCCAAAATCTTGGCACAGTCATCGTAATACTTGTTCGAGTTCTTTACAAAACTAAATCCATTCACATCGCACACAAATGACTGGCCGTTTGCTCTGTAACCAAAATCATTTTATATTAATTGTACTTACTTGACTTTTGGCCACTTATGTAACTCGCGATACATGCTCGTGTCAATATCTCTTTTCTGACTGAAGTCAGTGTCGCAACAGAAATCAAAGCTATTGAATGTGTAATATGATATGCGTTCTAAAATAACATTGATAACCACGTCGGTAATTATAATACGTTGACACGTAATGTATCATGTCTTAATGATGTTGTACAGACAAACTTAAAATAGATTTTACATAAAAAACGCATCTTTTTAACGAATGCGATATATCACTGTTCATAAAAAGAATTATCGAAAAAGTAGGTTCAATTTTTCTTATCATACTGGTTGCATTACATGAAAATGTACAATTACATACCTTAATAAATCGAAACCGCATACTGTTTGTTTGAAGGCCAAACATACCTTCCTACTAATTAATTTCTCAGCATTGTTTAATATCACCGGATAACGAATTTCTTTGCCCTCCGAATCTCTCTCAACTTTGCCATCGAGAGCAGGGCTCTTCCTCGCCTCGGCATGAGCGTAATCAGGTCCCACGGTATAGACTTTAACGTCGGTGCCATCGGTAGGCATAAAATCTTCATAGATATAAGAACCACTCTTGCGAACGCGAGATTCTGGAGAATATACGCTACTACGACTACCTATCTGTGTAATGAACAAACATTATCATAAATAATCGTTCTTAATTTTTTTCACTTAGGAAAACAATACTCGCTTTCTAAATCTGTACAAGAAATCACATACTGACTTCAGGAAAAATTATATGTATGTATATAACTTTTATACACATATATATACATATATGTACCTTTCTAAATAATCTCTGACTTCCTCCTCCAGCAGAAGTAGGATAGTAAATATAAATATTATGATCTTCAGCGGATACTGGTTTTTCCACAAATGGTTTGTTAAAAGTAATACCGTTTACCTCCACATGATCCTCTGACTCCACCAATTCGTGCTCTGAAATGCAGTTTGTATTCTCTATGTAGAGATTAACTTTTAAGGACGAATTTCACATATCTACCGTGTTTACTTTAAAATTAAATTCAGGATAAAAATTTCAGATTAATTCGGGATCTGTGTAGATTAGTTACATTTAAAAGTAAGATGAAAATGTATGTAGCGTGGAACACTAAAATATAGTATTTATAAAAAATACGAATTGTGATCTTCTAATAATATTTATAGTAATAGTAATATTTATAGTTATAGTAATAGTATTTATAATTGCCAAAAAAAAGTTATACATATATGTAGATATATTGATGGAGGATAGGTAGATATCAATAGATTTTTCACTCACATAAAATATTTTTTAACAGAATCAGTAAAAAAAAAAATTATTTAATGATGCCATTCCTAGAGAGCAAAACCTATAAGTGACACAGATGAGTGTTTTTAATTTATTTGAATACATCATAACTATTTGATTTCAAAATCGAATCGCAAAGGATTAAATATTTACAATATATTTACAAACAATGCAAATAAATTTTGTCACTCACGTTTCGGATCTGGTGAATCTCTGTCGAGAACAGCATACCGTGGAATTTCGATACCTTCGCTCTCCAATATAGCATAAACTCTCCTTCGGTCCTATAGCAATTTGTATTAATGTATATATAGAGAATATATGTAATAGAAAAATATATTAATATTCTGATATTAAAGACTTATATACCTGGATATCGTACTGCATTGGCAGATGATTGATGATAAACGGTTTACGTAAATTTGCATAATTTATAGCCTTATCAAGAGGGAAACCTTTACTATGAAAACTTATTAAACAGTCAACTACAGGCCAATTTTCTACAGGTTCCTATAAATGAGCAAATATAAAAGATATAGATTTTGTGGCACAGAAATACAATATAGTTTCACAGCGTAAATATATATTACCTTTAAAATCACTTCTTCTGGAAAAACGACAATTTTTATATATTCAAATTCCTCGAGCCTTGTCAAAATCTCTTTCATCGGTTTACTCTGCGACTTCTTTGCCATTGCACATATTCCAACCAGAACTTGCTTTCCTTCTCCTTCCACATCACTCCCGCCCATGTAAGCATCATCTTGGTTGCCTTCTGATAATTCAGGCTAGAAAACAAAATAAACAATAAGTAACAAAAAAAAAAAATACATGGCGTATTTGCAAATCATATCTTGATAATGCAGTACTATAAACAAAATAATTTTAATAAACACTTCAATAAAATTTATACATATACAATATAAAATTAAATTCACTACCACACACTCATTTTTTTCTTTTGAAAAGTCAGTGATAGATCAAGTAGCAGAACGTCATAGCCTGATACTTTTATATAGTTTCTAAAAATGAACATGATTTCTAAACTCCGCTATATAACAAGCAGTGATGAAGATTGTAAAATCTTCAAGCTAAATAGTGCTCACCCAGTATGCCTTTAGGCAGGATAGAAATCTAGGCTTGTCGTCAGCAGGACAATTTTCATCGCGAACTCTTGTAAGATTACTCATTATACTCTTTAGTTTGATCTTTTGATAAGTAAGTTATACGTCGATCGCATATGTTATTGCCTACATAGAAAGGTACATAATACATATCAAGCAACAAAGCGTGAAATATGTAAATTTAAAAATGAAAATTCACGCTATATATATTTTTATTTGTGATTTAGTATGAATTTTTCATTCACCTACACGTTTATATTTTCACCTATTTCTGTTTATTTCGCTTTACCATTACTATCTCACTACAATCCAGAATCAACGAATGAATGCAATACCAGTCATGCAGCAACAAGCAAAACCAAAGGACGAGTGTTTGTTAATCACTGCAATGAAAGATTTAGAAAAAGAAGTGAGATAATGTGATAAAAGAAAGAAGAAAAAGATTATTGCAAGCTAAAGAAATATAGTGGAATCTATCTTCATTTCCTATGATTTATAATAATTCAAATAGATGAATATAACAAGTTCTTGTATTAGCAAATTTTATATGATTAATAATACCTGATAAGTTATCACAGAAAACTATATTCCTACTACATTCAATCGATAAATCTTTATTATTTTTATGATTGCTATTTCTATAATGGAGTTAATTAATCTTTAAGCACATTTTTATTAGAGTATTATAATACATATTTCTTCAGTTATACACATATACACACACGTTTTTACCTTGGAAATAAAATTCATTGTTACATATCTTCAAAAATTAAAAACTCCATAAATTTTGACGTCTTCTGTTCTGATAATAAGTAATGATTTAATTGATAATGTTCCAATATCGATCATTCAAAGTATGATTACAGTTAACGTATCATAATAGAAAGATAAAGAAAAATTTATATCACTTCAATTTTCAAGTCACTGTCACTTGAACATTATCACTATAATTTAGGACTGAAGTATACTCTTGGCAGCATGTTCATACACCTTCAAATGATATGAGAATAGCATTAAATTAATTTAGACTTTAATAATATATACCATATACTATATAAACTCTATATGTGCATAATATTTGTCTATTTAAACTACGTTCACACACTGTTAAAATAACAAGTAGCGAATACTTTCTGAATGAAATTCGCAGGCAGTTGCCATAATGTTATTAAGCATAGTTAGAAATAATTTATAATTCAGTCAATATTAGCACTGCTATAATTGATGATAAATATTAACCAATGTACAATATTTTTACGAAACAAACGGGATAACTGTTTGCGTTGCACATGCATCAATAGAAAATTTAAACTGGTGTATCACGTGCATACCATTCGTGCTCGAATAACGTGTCTTATGATGAGATAAATTCCTGTCTGACCAAACATCATGGAAAAACAACGAATTTAGCCTCTTCTCAAACTGATTGTATTCATACACTTCACTGCATAGAAATATTTATTAATATTTATCGCAAATGCTTGCAATGATAGATTTAATTCTTTAAAAGTTGATATTACGTAATAAGGTATATATCTCTTGACTATGTAGGTACTAGTGATTAACCAACCAACAAAAGTTTCATCAACGTTTACTTAGCAGCTGTTTATATAACTGTTGGCATATATTTCTATTTGTAAAGGGCAAGTATGTAGTAAGAGAATATAGATAATGTATAATTTTTTAAATGTGTACAAAAATATTTACATGTATCACATATATTTTTAATATATATATATAAAAATATACATATATATACATATATAGATTTCTAACCTCCGACTAATGTATGCTGTTTTCCTACACAGTTGCTTTACAGTATGTACATTTGTCATTTTTATAACATAAACACAAGATAAAAAAAATAGAAGTAAAATAACGTTATTATTCTACTAATCTCAAATCAATCTATTTCTTGGATAACAATCGATTGTGACAGAGACATATGGCTCTGTTCGTGTCACGTTACTCTCTTCTCTCTCTCTCTTCCCTATGTCTGTGATACCTCATCAGATAAAGATCAGATTCATGCATACAATTAACTAAATGCAAGATCTAGAAAATTATTTATATAATATATAACAAAAATAGAGAATACTCATTTTATATTTAAAAAACTTTATATACACATATGTGCTCTGGTTAGGAAGCTGAAGGATAGATTTTAAACTGTGCTTCATGCAATATTACAGACACTTGCAATCATAGGTCTGTTTTTTATTTCTGTACTAGACAATGCTTTTTTTTATTTTCAACAAATTTTCATCAAGTATCAAACATATAGCTGTTTAATTTTAAGTTCCAACAGCATACGCTAGTTCAGTTATAGAAAACAAGAAACTGATTCTGTATCTTGAAACAAAGTAAAAATTACAAAAATGAGCAAATTTACTAAATATTGACCAATAAAATTATAAATATTCTAATAAATTCGTTTACTTTTATAATTTTTACTTTGTTTCAAGATATAGAATCAACTCTCAAGCCTCATATATTTCATCAACAGTAAAATGATCCCAAACTTACTCTTTTCGACGACCGATAGATTGAAGGAATAACAGATGGCTGCACTGTATTTATATCTCCTATATAGAACATTGGTCTGCTTGCATTCCTGAGACCCTGTAAAGGAAAAAATTTCGTTAGATCAAGCAGAACATCTAATCTTATCTAAAGACTACTACAAAGAGAACTTACTTGGTAACCATGTTCCAGTTCAGTGTAAGACATGACAGATCCGGTCTCATTGATAAAACAAATACCTGTTTCATGTATTTATGTTAGACAACGTGTCCCATACACTGAAACTACATGTTATCTCACATCAATCGCATTAATTATCAATCTGTTAATGTAATTTATAAACAAGTGCGAATATGGTTTGAGAGATGTGCAAGGTAAGATAAAAAAAAAAACTGTCTTCTTTTAATCTTACAAGCTCTTCTCTCAGGTAAATTCCTAGCGAGATCGTTGAAATTCAATGTTATTCAATGTTTTCTTTTCCAGTGATAATTTACAACGCCGTTTACAAAGGTGTTCTTTCTCGAATGTTCGTTAAAAGACTATGTGCGTCGCTCGATATGTTGTTTTCTTAGTAAGCTGTAACAGAAAGCAAATATTTGCGGGGAATTAGAAACGGGTAACGAGTTTGCATATCCACCAAGATAATAACGTTTGTAATACTCGGCTAATTACAAACATAGCGTCGAGTCGTATTTGCCTTGCTGATTTAATCAACGCGTTGGTGAAGTGCGCGCCATGCGAAACGGCCGTATGAATTCGTCAATAGATTTGTGCGGAGACGGAAGGTAAATCGAACGATACTCAGCAATACTTACCATTTGTCACGAAAATGCGATCTATGACGACGATGTTCGCACGTGACTCGTAACGTGACACGATCAAGGATCGCGACTCTCCGACCGTTTGAACTTGCGTCTCTGTTGACGTCGCACAGGTCTTGTTGCGGCATGTGCCCACGAGATCGAATCTCGAATTCTCGACAGCCGTGTTCCCCCCCCACCCCAGAAAGTGGGATTTTCTGCGCATGTGTCAACTCCGACATGTAAAAGGGAACTCGGAGAGATTGGAATTTGGGCCTTGTATTTTCAAAAAATAAATACAAACAAAATTAAAACTCCAAAGATAATTTCCCCTGGTGTTACAATTTTTTTTTTTAATTTTTCATATAATTTTTATTTAAATTTCAGAATTTTTCATAATTTCTGAATATTTTTGTAAATTTTTTAATAATTTATCCGATTTTTAAATACAAATTGGAGCATTTTTCAGAAGTGTTCAGAAAATCTATAACTATTATAGATTTCTTCATATATGAGTGAGAGTAAATTCTCTCTGAAATATATCTAAGATTTCAAAGATTCATTCCATTTTGATAAAATCTTATACTAAAAAGCTTGATATTTTTTTGAAAATTATAAAATAAGAAATTTTATAATATTTTAGAATTCAAGATTTATATAGATTTGTACATGCAGTTGAATTTTTAGTACCTTTTACTAGTATTTTATATATGACATTTTTTGATTGTTAACGAATATATATTGTTTTTTGTGATTTCGCATTGATAACAGCGAGTTTACTCTCATTAGCCTATTTATTCTTTGTATTTGGAATAATCATAAAATCTGGCCGAGTTTTAGGTAAAAATTTCGAATAAATAATGATAAAATTACTCAGGATGTTGCGTTACTCCACGTAATTAATAGCGTTTTCTCTTGGCTGCACCAGTGCAACACTCAGCTTAACTTTTGCACTAGTTCATCTTTCTTCCTTTTCTCTTCAGGAGAAGGGAAAAGGAAAAAAGATGAACTGGTGCAATCATCTTACACTGGTGCAGCCAAGAGAAAACGCTATAAGAATGGTTGAGTCATAATTGACAGGTCTTGGATTCGATCTCTCAACTGACAAATTTTAATCTGCTTAAAGAATTGGGGTTGAATGGACAATGTTGAATAATGGACAATGGTTATATGGAATACTGAATAGTTGCACAATGATATGATAACTCATTTCCGATTAATTTCATAGTTATTGGCCAGTTCTGAGTGACTAACAATAAGTTAATCAATTTTTAGAATTATTTGAATAATTTACTTTATTTTACTTATAATTTAATTATTTGAATAATATTTATTAATCTCTTTTACCAGCAGTTGCACAATTATCATTATCAAGCCCTTTGGATGTGCATAGAAATCTTTACCAGATCTAAGTATCTAAAAACAAAATTTCTTAATATTCATAGCATCACACTTTTATAAATAAAGTTTTGTGTTATCTTTTTATTTGTATAGAAATCCTTACTGAGAGAGGTTAAGGCCTGACTTGAGCTATGGAATCATAGGATACTTTATTTGCATATGTAGTATTATAAATTATTGTACATATTATTATATACTGCATTTTTTTACAATTTGATGATAAAAAAATAATTAAAATTATGTACAAAACATTCCTAAAATGTCATAATACCAAAATTATTAAATATGAAGTAAAAAATATTTTATTCTATAATAATAATAAGTAATCCTACTTTATGTAAATTATAAGACAATATTGCTGAATGTCTAAGTGATATATATATGTTCATAAATAAACTGCTTATTCAAATTTGTATTTTGTGGTGTTGTAAATGTGTGTGTGTGTGTGTGTGTGTGCGCGCGCGCGTGTGATGTCTTCATAAAAATAATCTCACATAAAACACATTTCGGAAACAGTTTTCTGAATAGAGGATAAAAAAGTACATAATAATAGCCCATTACAGCATGTCAGTAATTTTTTGACACTAAAATAATACAAAATAGAACTGCTTTCTTATCTGTTGAAGAAAAAAACCTAGTACGTTTTTCTTGTGTTTTGATTTCAATCATGATAATATATATGTATGTCGTGTATACGTACATCCATGATCATTCTATAAATCTTTTTCCATAACTATATTTATTTTCTGTGCCAATTACAATATAAAAAAAGTTTTATAACTGCCATTACTGCATAGAAATGCCTGTAAACAGTTAGTCAAATAGAAGTTAATTTTGTTATTTTAGCTAAATTAAAATTATGATGAATGAATATTCACCTTATACAAGATAAATATTTATTCATAATGTTCATGAAATCTATCATCGTGACCCCAAGCCTTGTTTCTTTCTCTCGGTAGAGTTGTCTTCAATGAATTTGATTTTGCATTAATATCAGTTCCTTTTTTTGGCTTATCCAGTGCACCTGAGCCGCGTATCGCTCTTGGGACGTTAGTATTTTTTGCATAATTGCCATGTTCAGGAACATCATTTTTTACTTCTTCTTTTACAATTTGTTGATTATTCTCAACTTCCCACAATTGATTATCTAGAACACCAAAAAATTGCTCGATTTACGATAGTAGCGGAGATATTATTCACGTAATATATTTATATGTAAGTTGTTATAATGTAAGTTATTACCATTTTCAGTCTTTGTCGTTACGATCATTTTTAATTGTTTTTGAGAAGATGGAGACTCAAAAGAGAGAGACTTGATATTTGAGAAATAAAAATTTATTAACCGTGTGTCTTTAATTTCATAGTCGTTATTGGCTAACTCTACGATTAGTAATAATGCCGCATAGTTTTCGGGACTGAGCTTCGGGAAGTTTTCATCTATTATCAATTGCCTGATTGTCATTATTAAATTCTCTAATCCATTTGGGCATACTGCATAAAGATCTTTACCAGATCTAAGTATCTAAAAAAACGAGATTTCTTCTTAATCATAAAATCACACTTTTATAAATAAATGAAGATTATTATCTTCAAAAATTATTGGAGTTTTATTCATATTGAATGTCACTTCATGTACATTCAAAACCTTACCTGTTTCATGACGAAATAAATATTATCCTTAGGATTATCTTGCAGCAGATCTTCCATATATTGAATTAAGGGTTCAGCCAATACTTTCAATCTATTTCCATTGGACAATTTCATGTGATAGTAAACATCTGCATGAAGTAAAGCTTTATTGGCAAATGCTCTTTGATCCTCTGCTCTATCTTTTTGTTTAGCTAAAAGAACAATATCAATATAGCATAATGTAAAATAGGAGATTAAAAATAAAAAATACCTACATATATAATTATCCTGAAGGAAACGCAAGAAGAGGCTTCGTATAGAATTTTCATTATTATCTTCTAATCGAATAATCGGGACACTGCTGAATATTATTGCTATTTTTGTGGTCAAGGAGTGGTATATAGCCTGCTTCCAAAGAGAGTCGCATACAGATCTAAAATTTACGACTTTGTGTTGGAATGATTGCTAAAGAGAGGAAAAAAAGTTCAGCTGCAAAGAGAGTAAACCTAAATATTTACATCTTCTCTTTACTGTCTTTCATCTTTTTCTTTCCAACATCTGACTATAAGAAGTCTGTTCTTTTCAGCTGAATTTCTTGCATGATTCATCTTTCCTTTGGCACTTTCCATTCAGTGACATAATTCAATACAAACATTGTTTTATCTTTCTAGAAATTTTAGTGAGTAATAAAGACTGTTTTCCTTGTAGAGATTGTTAAATGTTATGCTATTTTTGTTATTCATTGGCCACATTCGGCAGAATGTTTATTTTACAATTGCTAGAAGTTTTTTTTCACTGAAGTAGGATTATTTCTTTAGATTTAAAAGTATAATTTAATCAGGATATAGAAAACTTTCAATATCCTCAATGTCAAGAAAAATAAAACAATGTTTGAATTGATTATAGATGCTTTCTGTCTAGTGACACAAGTAAACACAAGTATCATTGAATCTTTGTTAGTCATTGAATCTCAAGACAGAATGATGTTTGTGTTGATTTATGTCACTAATTCTTATTTGCATCAATATAGATTAACTTTAATTTTAATTCAACTTTTTTACTCCAAATAATTTTACATAATTTTTTTAGTTGTAAGAATTAGAAAAACAAACGGTAAGTTGAATCAAGTTAATCTTGTTAGAAATTAAAATAAGTAGAAAGCACCGTGTCTCCTAAAAAAAAACAATCAGCAATAGAACAACACTTGTGCCAATTTTTGTCACCAAATGGTAAGCATCCTGTGTTGCTTCCCAAAGGGAAACTCCAACTCGTAATACCTCAGATTATCCTCTTTGATTACAATAATCAACAGCTTCATGATATCCTCGATTAAACTGTCCTCATTCTCATTGTATAAAGTTATCTTTTCTATTATATCCTTCAGCACCTTGTTATTACTGGACGTGCTTCCTCCTGGTCTACGTAGCCCCTGATCCTTGTCCTGACTCTGGTTTTGACTGGACCATCCCCGACCGCGACCGAATGAAGTCATCCTTGAACTTAACAAAGCCTGCTTGACACAAAAGATATATGTCAATAGATTCCCAATGACTGAAATGTAACGTGATTCAAAAACTTTATTGAGAAATACAGTATGCAAGGATACGATCTGATTCAACAACTTGTTTCTCCTCGTCTCCTCGTCTTCTCCTCTTCGATCGGCAATATCGGCATGAACCATACCATGGTGGAAGACTTCCACCATGAATCATACGGGTTTACTGGTACATTTCTTGACGGTGTACTTTTGCGCTTTCTGCACTTGTGAGTTCTGTCAGTGTAATGGTCTGTTCATATCTTCTTTTCATGCATCGTTTGTTTTTCTCTTTTTTTCTCTAGTATGGAGAGAGAAAAAGAGGAAAATGCAAGTTTGAGCCATTCAACAAATAATATATCATCAAATAGGTATATCTCGTCGATGGTTTAGCTAAACAGAACAGACCGTCTGTATAACGGTTGAACGTTGTAGAGAAAAAAACGAAAGATAGTAAAAATTTAAAGGGAAGGTAAATTTTTACATTTTTTTTTTCACTCTTTACTGAATATTTTTATCTTTTGTTTTTCCTTTCTTTCTATTTAATATCGTATCTGCGCAGCTAATTTGTAAGCCTTGCAGTAATAAAGTGTAGAAAGTGCAAACGGAACAAATGCATCTTTCGCCGAATTATCAATGCGCCGCCTGGCAATTGCCGCCAGCGACTTCGCGTTTAAATTTCTCCAATTTCGTCTGTTATAGATAAATTATGATACATAGTCACGCGATCCGGAGCTGTGTGGACGCCGATTAGTTCCTGGACAGAGAAGGAAAAGCAATAGCAAGAAGTCGACAAATTTGGTTAGCATTTAACTCTTTCAAACGGATAATTTACAAATTACACCGTACAGAGTATTTGTTAGATTTCTTCGAACGTAGATAGCGAATCGATCGAAGCTCGTTACGCTTCGCAATTACGCTCGCTCGAGTGAATTCGCGTGCGACAGTTGAATTTCTGAAAAGTCGGGACGGAATTGCGGAATTGTTGCCTCTTTCTCCGATGTCGACCAGCGTAGCGTATCATCGTGGATCTGATAGTTCGACAGGTGCCTAGATGCGATAATTGTGCAATTTTACATTCATATAATTATAGCGACATCAACATATGGTATCTACGCGATAACAAGCTAAGATACGGAATTAATTAAACGGTAGAAATCTGCCAATCTACTCCGAGTGATAATAATTGTGAAAATTTATTTGTCAGGGATTATTTTCAGTTTAGGTTTAGGTGATGAATTCAGGTATAATACTAGATAAATAAGAAGAATTTAAGTTAATGGTGTCATTCTGTCACATAAAAATGTGACAAAATAATTATTTAATTTTATTTGTTACAGATTATGTTTAATTTATATAATGTTTACCTGTGTGATATGCAAAAAAAGAATACCAGCGAAATGAAAGATCTTATAATGTCTGCTATGAGAAAGCTATGATAATTATTAATTATTTGATTTTATTTATTAAAATTTATTCGTAATTTACATAATATTTATTGTTTGCAACAAGCTAAAATACTAATAATAAATGAAAAGATGTTACTGTCTATTTTCCAACAAAGTAATGACAATACTGACAATCAATAATAATATAATTTTATTTGTTAAGAATTATTTCTCATTTATATAATGCTTACCTACGATAAGCTAAAACAGAAAATTAGATAAATAAGAAGATGTTAATGTCCATTCTGATAAAGCTGTGATTAATATAATCATTTATCTGTTAAGAATTTTTTTTTAGATAATGTTAGTTTACAATAAATTAAAACAAAATACTAGCTAAATGAAAAGATGTTAATATCTACTCTAAGAAAGCAGTCACAATTAATAAATTATTTAATTTTATTTGTTAAAGATTGATTTTAAACAATTGAGAGAAGTTTGGAAGTTAATTTGTATTAATAATTATGCAACGTTTGTTTACAATAAGTTAAAAACAGTGGACCAGCTAAATAAGAAAGCTGCAACAATTAATATAATCATATAATTTTATTTGTAGATTTTCTATCAATTAACTTTAAGGAAAGAAAACTGCTCTATTAGTGCTAAAATATTATCATACACTTTAAGGCAAAGAAAACGTATGTATGATGAATTATAACAAGTACCCAAGAAAAACTGTAGGATTTTAAAAAAAAGCTCCTCCCCCTCTCCCTCTCCTGCTTTCTAAAGGTTAAACAGTAGAGTCCTTTAAACAGCAGATTAATGAGAGATTGATGGGGTTTCGTCAAGAATTAAAAGGAAAATTTGTGTCGTCTGTTTGTGACAAGATAAGGCACGAAAACTAGTTTAATAGGAATTAATATCAAAGAATTAGTTGAGAGAATTATCAAAATTAATTTGTATTAATAATTTATAGCTGCTTGAGATTATTCCTTGGACAACTCAGGCTTGCGCATGCCCGCGAATATTACCCCGAACGGCCGCCAATCGTCAAACCGTATGGTAATCCATAGCAACAATCTGTCAGTCATCGTCAGTACAGCCAGTCATCGTCATCGCAGCCATCGCGTGACCCGCCCGGATGATCAACATCCCGACAGACATCAACAACGGCAGTCGGCTCAGCAGTCCCTCGCGGTTTGCATTGTGGCCAGGCCAGTCCGCTTCTCGACGGAGGACGAGTCGTCGTAACAGTTAGTAGTCGCCAGTCGTTGGCTAGGTACGCCACGCTTGTGCTGCGTCGATCGGTCCCGGAGTGCTTTTCCTCCCTTTCCTTTTTATTACCAGAAGGTACAACCGACGTAGCCGAGGGAGCCACGTCGTGTCCTAAAAAGGAATAGAATACCAAGGGAAAGAGAGATAAAATAAAAGGACACCGTTGCTCATCCGTCCAGGAAACATGACGACGGAGGAGAAGTTTAATGCTGCCGTGAACGTGATCAGGAGTTTGCCGAAAAATGGTACGATAATCATACCTACGTTATCATCGCATTGGCATGGCGAGTTACGACGCGCCTCAAGAGCGCGGATGCGTATCTCGAAAGTGAATTTTTCCTTTGCGTGTATACACTCTGAAACATTTTACCTCTTACACACTCGCATCCGCTGTTGCGTTCGCCTGAGAACGCGGCAGATATCACAGTACAATCGTTTTTTGCTTTCCACGCTTGTTGATTTCTTTCCCTTTCTCGCCTCTCTTCCTTCATATAACTTTACTACGTGTTGACTAAAGTCCACTGTCGATATTTATCTTCCTCGCGCGAGAATCGCTCATTTACTTGGTCACGATGAAAAGCCGATAATAAGTAGTTTTTTTGCGTATTTAGAAGCGCCGAGAAACCCGACTGCAAGATTATTATATACATATGATATATATATATATTTTATTTATATAAATTTTCTGGACAATTCGGATATTTTATATAATTTCTTTTAAATCTGAAAATATATTCAAGCAATGACAGTAAAAATCATACGACATGGGTCTTTAAATTTCTAGTTTTTTTCATTATCGCAGGTGTTTCTATTATACGGAAACAAACACGAAGATTTTACATGCATCGTTACGCGCTACCGTGCGGAGAAATTGGCAAGATCTAATGATGTTCGAGGAAAGTGAATGTTCTCAAGTCAATTTCTTATTCGCGGTGTCGAGAGTGATATTAGGACAAAAAATTTTCCGAATGCTCGCTCACTGTACGGAAGGAGCCTCCATGTCTGACTCTGGTCTATGGATGGCACACATTTCGATATTCTCTACGTTGTAGACACAAATGACCTTCACATTTGATAATTAAGCCAAAAAAGAGACAAGTTTTCTAATTTGTATTCCTGGTTATTATTATTTAGTCTTTCTAAGAAAAGGAAATAACAATTTTTTTCTTTGCAGAAGAATTAAATAATGATTATTTTTTTTATGAAAGTTTTTTATTAGGACCTGACATTAAATAATGAATAATCGTTTTTTAATCAAAATGTTTCTATTATTATTTTCAATATAGTAATAATATTGATTTTGTATCATTTATATCTATATACATAATGTGCATTTTTTTACTATTTAGCCTTGATGTTTTATATTGTAAGTATACTTTCCAGTCACTTCATATAGAGCTAAGTGACTGTATTACTCCCCAGTCCCCACTTTACTTTCTAACAGTGCAAGATACGCTTAGTGGTTAAAACTAGAATGTTCCTCTTCACTGATCACAAAAAAATAACTTATATTGCACCAGCAGTTATGAAATTTTGTTAACAAGAGCGCGTATTATTTAACGTTAATTATTTATTTCCAGGTCACTGGCAATATATAAAATATAAAATTAAAACTTGTAATTATGCATAATCTCTTGATACTTAAGCTTTACACTCTTGTACTATGAACTTGCTTATTGGCAAAAAACATATAGACTTAATTGCAGTGCAACGGTGAAGTGTACATTATACACAATATAAGAATTGCGAATTTCATATAAATACATGCATTTGAATTTTGTTGAAGATACCTTAATAAGGCATTGCTAGCTAAGATAATAAGCTTTCACAATAATTACTATAACAGTTATTTTCTATTAACATTAATTTCGAAGATCATGAATTCCATAGAAAATACAATCAAAATTTTTCACCATTCTAATATTTATTATTATCTAATAAACTTATGTATTTTAAAGTAAATATATATTTTTGTATATGAAGAATTAAATTTTTATGTTTTAATAATTACTTATATAATTATTTCAATATTGAGAGTTTTTATAATTATTATTATTAATTAATTTACTATTACTTAGTATGCGCTCCATAGTTCAGATAATTAAAAATTTAGCTATAAGTTTATTCTTTTTAACTGAACTTTTTGCACGATTCTTTTTTTTCTTTTCACATAGAAGAGGAAAACTATAAAGAACACTAGAAGAAACAAACTCTATGAATTTGTATATTTGGAACTGAGTACGAATCTATTTGTATAAATAAAACGCAGATATATATAAATAGAATTCTATTGTACAGAATTATGTCATGTGATGATGTATAAATTATCATATCATTTATCTATTTTGTCATGCCTAAGAGAATACTCTTTAACTGTTTGGCTAAGAGGTCAAGGAGATAGAAGTAAAAACATCATCATTGTGTCTCCATTTAATACTCGGTTAATCATTTAAAAAACATACATATTTGGATGCTGTAATGTGTTGTAACATTTAATATCTAATTTAATTAGAATAATAAGACTAATGAGGAATATTTTATAATTTTAATAAATAACGTTTTACAGGAGCGTATCAGCCCAGTCATGAGATTATGCTGCGTTTTTATTCGTATTACAAACAAGCGACTGAAGGACCCTGCCAACAATCTAAACCCGCATTTTGGGAGGTAGTGAAGAAAGCGAAATGGGATGCATGGACACGTCTTGGAAATATGAGCCGTATAGAAGCCATGAATAATTATGTGGAGGAACTGAAGAAAGTAAGTATGATTGTAGACTAAAAGCTCACGCAAGACGAATGTATTAAAGGAGAATCATCATCATATTGCAGATTGTCGAGACAATGTCTTACACAGATAATGTGGCAACGTTTCTCGGCAGTTTGGATTCCTTTTATGAAAGTGTACCAGCTGAAGATTTGGAATTGCTCGTGGGACCAGTACTGGAGCGTATGCGCTCCCAACCGGGATCACCATTGTCTGGTTCACCATTAGGTTAATTTTAACTTTTAGTAATATTTTATACAAATAACATTTGCAAGGCCTACAAATACTTTAGATGTAAACAAATTTGTGTGAAAGTAGGTTACAAGATATTCTATAATAGTAGTAATACCGGTATAATACCGGTATTTTCGAAAAATTATACCGGCAGTATATGTCATACCGGATGCCAATACCATCACCGGTTTACACTAATTGGTTTTACTTTGATTTTTACATAATATCGAAAAATACTGATGTATTACTGGTATATTACCGGTATTTCTATATCGTTTTTAATCACGGACATATATTTTGAATCGAATATATCAAGAAATAAGCTAAAATAATTTTTATTTAGATAAACATGTTTACTAAAAATTTAAATCGAAGATATTAAAAAAATATTTAAGATATTTATTAGATCACTTATAAAGAAACAAATTTCTATCAGAATTATCAATGTTATCATATATCGTAATATGATAACAGTATATTTCAAGTTCTTTAAGCATAATATATATCGAAAAATATTTTCTTTTGTATAAAGCTATTTTTCTCATTTTATTATTTAGTGTCGAGAGAAACATCACCTCACAGAGTAATGAATGCTTCTCGGCATATAACGAGCAGTTTGGAAACTAGCCCGACCAGCAGCCGTACTGCAAGTCCGCTACCACAGGATACTGATGGCGAAGAAGAGGAATTTATAGATACTGTTGAAGTATGACATTAACATTACATTTCAGATTACGTCAATCATTCTATTTTACAAATAATTGAATTTTATTGCAGTCAGCGCCGGAGAGAGCGCAAAAAGATGCACTTAAATCCACTATTGCTTCTCAAAAGGTACAAACCACAGCAAAGAACGGAATTGATCATTCAAGTACAGAAAATGTTATAAAAGAAAACACTGAATTAACTAATGGATACAGTAATACTAATGGTCACGTGGAAACGATATCGGAGAACCATAGAGAGAGAGGTAGACAGAGAACGAAGAAAGATGACAATAAGGTTAATGCAGAATTCATGAATCAAATCGCGACAACTATGCAGCATCTACAAAGAGATTTAGATCGCATAACGGCTAGAGTACGAGGTTTGGAAGGGCAAGCCCTGCAAGCACTGGCGCCACCAACAGTACGTAACATATTTATTATTTAGTTATATTTAATTTTAACAAGAAAAATAATACCTTGGATCTTTTTGAAATAACAGAATGAGAATTATTTCTCGTCATTTATTTATTTTAGGAGCACACTGTTAGACGAAAGTATGCAAAATGGTGGCCATTGCAAGAATGCCCTCCGCGTTTGTTTGTTTTACTAATCTTATGGCCATTTGTTGCTCACTTACTGATCAACTTTATGCAGCGTTATCGCCAACGAAGACTGTGATGTCACGACTATCATTCCTACGCTGAGAACACATTTCCCACTGTTTGGGTTATTAATATTGAGTTATAGTAAACGTACACACAGATTTTTTTGTTTAGTTATATATATATATTCTTTATAGAGACAAAGCTGTCCTAATGCAATCTACGATTACATTAGTAAACGTGAATTGTGATAAAAATGACTAGATCAATCTCTGTATATTTTTGCATATGCGGTCTGTTTCGGAAGTTGCACTTTCTCTTGACTGTAAATTCACCACTGAATAACGGTCGATTGATTCACAGCGAAAGTTCAATTGAAGGAACTTGTGTAGTTATGTTAAGTAACAGATATATATAACTTATAATACTTTGTTTTTTACGCATTTTTATAAAACGATACAAACTATCCTAAAATATATATAAAAAGGTACACAATTTGTGTTCTTTTGTATATTCATGTTTGTATTGTTTTATAATGAAGATATCTATGATGTTTTTATGTACACTACATAGATGTACGATGTTTTACAGCATATTTAAAAATGTGCGAAATAATACATAGATATATGAATTATTTTATTCCTCGTGTCTATATTTCAATGTTTATATTTTAGAAAGAGGTTCGTGACTTCCGGGACAATCTGTATAAAACTTATAAAGGTATAGTTCTATATTAAAATGTTTTTTAAGGTGGATTGTATGTAATATATTTAGCTCTGTAGTCGTATAGATTGTAATATATTCATACAGAGAAAGTAAATCTTTTTGTACATGCGACAGTGTGCAATAGTCAGTTTTACGTGTAAATTATGTGGGTTTTTAAGAAAAAAAAAAAAAGAAAAAACTTTTAAAGTGTATAACTATCGACATTGCGCGACAACAATGATAAATATTAATTACAATTAATATGGATTATAATTCCAATTTCAAAGGGACATTTATACATACTGAATAAATTGCGATAAATTTTATGTACATATGTGCAACGTGAAAATATACAAATTTTTAATTATCAACTAAAATTTGTCTCACACTTATATACATTTCTTTTCTCGCTAGTAAAATATTTTACAACTAAATTCGCTCGCCATTGTTGATACAGTGAGAGCGCCCGTTCCCTTTTAGCCACATTTTTTCCATGGAGGGGAGAAAGTAGAAAAGGAACAAAGTAGAAAGTATAGCTAAAGTACTATTCCTAGCTCTTGATGAATAGCAAGTCATGTAGACGTGTACACAAGGTGAATCAGCAAGAACACTTTCTTAGATGCAAAGCTGCAAGAAAATAAATAGAATAAAACTTAGATAACTTTTCACAGAGAACTAATGTATTGAGCATCACGTCTTCGCTTTCTCTGGGTATTTTTTTTTCTAATAATGTAAGATTAATGATGTTTCTTTTGATGGAGTATATATTTGTGTATTTCTCATATTTTCTGCTGATGTCAAAATGAATTCAATTGTACAGCGTTCTGAAATAATTTCAGAACGATATACAATCGAATTCATTTTAATATCAAGAAATATGTGAAGAATTTAAAGACATAACTTTATCGAAAAAAAAAAATGGAGAAAAACATGATCCGCGCGGTTTCACAACTTGCGGTTCAACTTACTCTTCATCTCTTTTCAATTCTAGAATTGGAAAGAGATGAAGAATAGTTAAACCTTGATTAAATAAAAATTAATTAATCGCGAAACCGAGCTTAAGCTTGTGTTGTGTACTTGACTATTGGAGTATTATAAAACTATGTCATTTACAAAATCGGTATATTTGGACACAATAATTTAAAAACAAATTTGAAAAATAGAGGCTATGAGTCAACGCAAGATGTATATTGCTAATATTAAAATTTAATAATATAATTTTAAATACAAACATTTCAACCGACATTAGGTCATCTTCAGTGTAGTTAATAAATTTAAATAAAAATACAAAAATTAAAGTTAAGTAGCTTTAAACTTATCGATTATGTTAAAAGATTATAAAACAATCATGTATAGATGTTTATATGGTACACAATGTGACTCTATTTGTATTTTTATTTAAATTTATTAACTACACTGAAGATGATCTAATGTAGGTTGAAACGTTTGTATTTAAAATTATGTTATTAAATTTTAATATTAATTAACAGTATACATCTCGCGTTGACTCATAACCTTTATTTTTCAAATTTGTTTATGCCATTTACATTAATATGTATAAGAATATTAAAAATGCTTGAAAAAATTAGGATCTAATGAAGAGATCTTTATAAAATCTCTTTATTCAAATATCTCTTGAAATTTATTAAAATTATTATTTATATCAGTATGCAAAGAAATGTTAAAAATATTTGAAAAAATTAGAATCTATATATATGACGAGATATTTTCAAATTCATTCAAATACTTGTCTCTTTAAATTTACTAAAGCTATTTTACGTTCTAACGCTGTATGTTTCAAAACGTTAAAAATAGGAATCATTTAAAGTCTATAGATTTTTTTTCAAGTCTAAAAGAGGTCTTCGAGTTTTATGTTTGTCGAATAATTATCGGTGATTCATTCACGCTATACATGCGCTCAATGTCAAGTGCCAGCAAAGAGAACCGTGCTTCACGAAGGTCGGAATGCAACTCGCGCTTCTCGTTGCAAGAACCCGCTGTACAACAACCGGCGGTGCAACTTGCTGCATGGCTCGTTTACAATGTTTACATAATAGGACTCCCCTACACTCCTCTATTTTGGAACAGCTGTTTTCTTGTCAACTACACTTCTCCCGTCTCTATCCCTCTTCCCGTTGCACTTGACCACGTGACCGTGCACAAGAGAGACTGGAGAAAGTGAAGGGATGACAAAGAGGGAGAATAATACGCCACGTATTTCTACTACTACATCATAGTAGGAACATAAAGAGCGAGAGAGTGGACATTGGAGCGGATGGGAAGCGGAAGATTCGGACGGTGGGGGAAGATTTTAGGTGGGGGCAGGTGGGGGACAACCCGACAGTCCCGGCAATGGGATCCTTTTGTATTCGAATGTGTGTGAAGTTGTGCGCATTTTGCGAATGTACGTATGTATAGGTAGCTGTTCGGTATCGGCACCACGCGTCGAAAATGTGTATGCGGCACAGGAACATTCGTAGATTTTAGCTGACCACCTTCGACTCATCCGCACGGTCACGTGTAGTCGACACGTGCAGCCGCCGTTTGCTCGCGAATTCGCGTCAACGTCGAGCCGAAGTCCGCACGCGGCATGGACACCGGAATGCTGCTCTTTGTACTCACGAGCGTCCTCGCCACCAGCTGCTCCGGCACCGGCGACCTCGACCTGGGCACGATCGTCTTCGCGAATGTCGTAAGTGAATTTAGATCACGCTTTTTCACCTTTTTGCTCGGCTTTAACGTTTCCGTTGTCTAACATTTGCCAAAACGAGTGCCAACTCGTTCTTATCGTTTTCTTCTTATTTTGTCAATTTAATTTGAGATATTGTGTAATTCATCAGCTCTTCGGTTTAAAATTGTATTTCAAGACTGACAAATAATCCAATATACAATTTGCTTTGGATAAACTACAAATTGTAACATTTATACCAAAATATTGTGTCAAGATCCACCTTGATTGAATATAGTTTTTTTGCTTATTGTGTTCAATATTTCTCGGTTAATTTTTACTTAATATTGTTTTATATCAATATTGCTTTATATCGTTATTATTTCAATATATATTATATGTCTTGAATTTTTACGTCGTTTGTAAAATACCTATGCAAAATTTTAGAGACGTTTTTATTTTTTGTCTTGACGTCTGATGACTCATAAACTTATTGTGGGAACATAATGGAACTCATTTTTGCTTGCAGTTATACAGGCATGGAGATAGGACTCCTATTGCACCTCATGCAAACGATCCTTATAAGAATGAATCGTTATGGCCAGTTCCATTTGGACAATTGACAAATGTAAGATAATTATAATTAATAAATGTAAACAATTATATGCATCGAGAATATATTTTTCTTCCAATAGATACGTTTCTTTGCATGTTCTTGATTATCTTATCTTATCATACATAAACATATCTGAAGTATTTAAATTACAATACTGTAAATTGTTCTGTCAAATGACCAGGTTGGCATTCTGTATGAAGAAATCGATGAAAATAGATTATACAAGTTTTAAACAGATTATACATATGCAGACACGAGAAAAAAACGTTATTGATATAAAAATATTAGTACATATTAAATCAATTTTAAGAATTACTTTTCTTACTGTATATTGATTTCTTAAAGCTTGTACGTTAAGTTTACTAATGTTTAACATTTGGAAAATATAGATAGGGAAACATCAACACCTACTTCTCGGACGTTGGTTAAGGAAACGATACTCCGGATTTTTAAGCGATATGTACACACCATATGATATTTACATTCAAAGTACGGATGTAGATCGTACCCTGATGTCAGCCGAGGCGAATCTCGCAGGTCTTTATCCACCAGTGAGGACTGAAATATGGGATAACAACATCTATTGGATACCGATCCCTGTACACACCATACCGGCATTGGAAGACTACGTGTTGAAAGCGAGCAAATATTGCCCGCGATACCAATACGAGTTGGAGAAGCTCTTAACGTCACCGGAAATAGAACACATAAAAAAGGCAAACGCGAAGCTCTTTGCTTACTTAACTGAGCACAGCGGGGATAACATAACTTCTATTAGAGCAGTTGAACATCTATACGATAATTTATATATTGAAGTATGTCGAGATGTTCTATATTATTAATTGTATATGCTATTATATATCATAACTTCCTCATTGGCTTGGAGAAACATGATAAAGCTTTGGTTTATTGTTACAGACATTGTATAACAAAACTCTACCGCAGTGGACGAAATCGGTGTTTCCAGAGAAGATGAAACCTCTTGCTACATTTAGTTTCATGATAGAGGTTTACAACAAGATACTTAAAAGATTAAAAGCAGGTATAATTAATATCGATCATTTATTAATAATTATATTTATATTTATATATTTTAATGTTAATTTTTTTGTATGTAATATTTTTATTGATATCTTAATATATTATTTTGTACACTTTCAAAGATGCTTAAATATTTTCAATTATATAGTCGATTCAATTTTAAAACGTTAGGTCCACTGCTTGGAGAAATGATAGATCACATGGTCAAGAAAGCACAACATACCTTACAACCTGATAGAAAGATATGGATGTACAGTGCTCATGATGAGACTATAGGCAATATACTTATGACTTTGAATGTATTCGAGCCGCATCTTCCACCTTACGCTGCTACGGTTCTTATCGAATTAAGGATAAATTCAAAAAATCAATATTTTGTGACAGTAAAGTATTTTATTTAATTCATATGCAAAATATTTTATTCAATTTTTTTTATTTTAATATTTATCCTTTCTTTATCCATTAGGTTTCTTATAAAAATACAACGGAGGAACCAATACTTATGACATTACCGGGCTGTGATACGTTATGCCCTTTAAATGAATTTATTAATTTGACGAAAGACGTTGTACCTGAGGATTGGAAAAGAGAATGTCAAATAGGTCGAAATGAGATAAGTTCTAGCGATATCATTGGTAATTATCGGATTTGACATATCGCAATAATATTTATCTAAATTTTTTCTAATGTGTATATATTTACATATACAGGTGTCTCACACTACCGTATTTTTTTTAAGGACATATTTTGAGATAATTTGATGACGAGAATCTTAATATAAAAATATCGAAGCTATAATAGTTTTTAAATTAATCGCAATTAAATTTCGCTAATCACAGAGCTGATATTTCGCGCGCTTAGACATGACTAGTGATGAAAATACCACGAGGACTCCCTTAACATGCAATGTTTTTCAGAAAGTTGTTTCTGTTTCTGAAATCGATTTGTACATTTTTAATTATACACACATGTGTATAATTAATATGCATAATTAATATCGGAATAGTAAAATATCAATTTTATAAAATATCAATAACAAGATATTATACGATATATATCAGCTGTCAAAATAAATTCGCAACTATGTTCATTTGTCTCATATGGTAAACATTTTTGTGGCAATATCGATAAATTACTTTTTACGTGAAATTAATTAATAATTTTGTGTCTGTTATAACATTGTGTTTTACGTAAAAACATTTTATACGACAATATTTAAATACTAAATCTTATATAATCTTATAGGACTTATATTTTGTACGACTTATATATTTTTCTATTAAGATTTTTTTTATAAAATTATTTCAAAAATACTTTCTTTAAAAAATGCGATATTTGTGAGATACCCTGTATATGCAATGTTATTTAATGATATTTTACATGTAATTATTTAGATTGCTCATCACAAATTTCAATTAGCATTTTTTATTTGTTTCAGCAATTTTATCATCGTCCATATTAATGCTAGTTTTATTGGTCCTAATAATAATCGTCTTTATATATTGGCGATATAAAAGAGAACACAGACAGTATTATTTTCGCTTAGCATACAATGGCTATAACGATGCCATGTAACGGATATTTGACTAGCATAATTGATATGGTATTAAAAATAGGTTAATCGTTGGTTATTAATGCCCATAATAAAATTAAGCGTTTTTTTTACAATTTTAAAATTTTAGACAAATCATATTTGACATACATATTTGATTGCTTAAATTGTAAATAATTTTTATCCGTATGTTTTATTCGGTTTTATTCAAAAAAAGCTCTTATAATAAATGACATCATTTGATGATTAATTTTTTTTTACTTTTCGTGAGGATACTTTTACTGTTTTAAATAGGAACTGTATTTCCTTGTCAATCATATATATATATATGTATATATATATCTATATATTACATACAAATACGTATTATTTGATATGTACAATTTATTATATTATTTATATTATGATATATTATTGCCTATATTATAAGCATAATATTTTAAATTTTAGCTTATTTTCAAGAAAAGATTTTCAAAAATGTATCTACGTAAAAATCACAGCATTCAGAAATTTTGGTTTGCTGATTCTTAGATCTAATTTATTTGAAATTGAGCAAGATCAAAGTCCACAATCATCGTGATAATAACAATTTATAATATATGTCACTCTATTTTAAGAAACAGTAAATTCGAATAGACAAATCAATATCAAAAAATTTTATAAAATTTTATTTTATGAGACTACCTTATTTTAAAGAGACAAGTAATCAAATACTTTTATAAAATATACGTATTGCTATTTATAATAACGCCTTAAATTATCAAACTTGAAAATAAGCATATATCTTGGATAATAAATGTTCAATGTAATTAATTCGGCATATTGCTAAATATAGAATAAGTAAATTTTGCGACAAAATTTTATGAGAAACAAGAACTTTTACTTCATAGAATAGCTACACAACTAAACTACTGTTACAATTGTTTGTTACATGTGATATTGCAGTGATTGTCTAGTCATGATGTATCGAGGTTAAACTTTTTGTGAGCTTCGTACAATATGACATAATAATTTTTAAAAGAGAAATAGCTAATGCAAAACACTGCCCGAAAACAAATTTTATTTACAGAAATTTAGTCATCTCTCATTGTCAGTGATCGTACAAATTATGACGTAGTATGTTTGTAAAAATATACCTTTTTCTAATTTTGATATATGTATAATGCTAATTGGAATTTTATGAATTGTGATTTATACAATTGCGGGCTAAAAGTTAAAATACACGAAACATATTCCTCTTTTAAAATTGGCCATCTTACAATTTAGTTTAATGACAATGTCATAAATAACCTACTGCGCGTCTCGACTTATTTAGTACTTATGAATAAGTGAAAATATGTAACGTGCGTATCTCATTAAGAATATTTTTGTGATACTTAAAACAACAGTGTGATATGTAACGACGGAAAATTTTTATCATATTTGTTGCTTTTGAAAAAATTGCGGATATTTTATTTTATATGCAAATTAATAAAAATTAATTCTCCATTCGAAATAGTATCTACATTCTTTTGTATATTATGTACAACTAGATAATTATGCATGAAAGTTAAAATTGTTACAAAATTGCATTTTATTTCAATATAACATAATTTTAATATATGTATATATATATAATTTACAAAGCAAATGTAAATACATATTACAACATTTTTTTAAAGATATTGTACATATAAAATACTTATTAAGTTATTAAATATTTGGTTACAATATATTGTTTACCAAATACGTAATATTGTCAATATACATATATACTTTATTTAAGAGATTTACCATCCTTTACGCATAGGAGGTGATAAAACGAATAAAGTGGGGATTTTTACGTATATCCTGTACACGTAAAAAAAGTCCAGGCTTAGAAAACTCCAGCAAATGAGAATGGATTAAAATGGATTGGACATTTTGTCTATTCAAATACATATTTTAAGCAGCGAAAACTTTTTTATTCTCAATTGGATTCGATTAGATTCAACTGGATGTAATTGGATTGAAAAACTGCGTTTCCTATTCAAAATTTTGAACAATATTCACGATGCACTGAAAAAGCTAACGTTATTTTTAGATTGAAAGGTATACATATATGCTCTGTGCAATTCCTATAAATGAATAAAAATGCATTCAGGAATGCATTTGAAAAGGATTCATTTTAATATTCATGAATCCGTATTTCTGAAAATCTGAATCTATTTTAATCCATTTCAATCCTTCTTTATATGCTGGATAAAATAATCTTAACATGTCCACTTTGCACACTTTATATTGCTTTTATATGCAAAGGCTGGTAAATTTCTTGTTGAACAAAGTATATTTGTCTTCTATCAATATAAATTAATTAATTTTAATTATTCTATCATATAATGAAAAAATTACAATGTTAACGAATTGCAATGTTAAAATTGCAATATTAACAACTTTAACGATGGAATGAGTGCGATGCATCAAGAACTAAACATTACCTCTTATTTAATTGTGCAATTATAAACAGACTTGTCTTCGTCATCCTCGTAGCATATAACTGTTTACTACATATTCCATGTTGATATTCTTGTTAAGATATTATCATTCTGATATAGATGAAAAACTACCGTTTTCTTGAATAGTAAACGCTGGATTTGTTCTGTAATATATTTAATATTTAACATATTTCAAGATATTGCCCGCATCTTAAAATAGATATCAAACAATAAATCAAATCGCGGCAACAGCATGAATTTCGGCGTACATTCTTACCTTTGTTACGAAACGTCAGCCTTGTATAAATTCATTTTTAGACTTTTGTTTGTTAGAAATATGCATGCAATAAAAATAGTTTTGGTTAATTGTGCTCGTCATACATAAATTTATTTTTAGAAACAAGAAACAAATGAAGAAACAAAAAGGACTGACAGTAGTGGAAGGATGGGAGCATCAACGATACATATCATATAATAACGATGACGAAGCAAACTTTATGGTAAAAGCACTATTACATTTATTATAAAAATATATCTTTCAGTAATCATACACATACCATAGGGCTTTATGCTGACATCACGAGAGATGATATAAGCACCTTTCCAATGCAACATTGTTTTCATGTGTTTGTGTAATACATTGTCTCATCGTATTGTCTCATACATTCAATTGCATTACTCCAACTAAGTGTTTAACGAGGTTTCCGACGTATTGTGAAAACTATGAATGAATAGAACTCTGTATCATAAGCATGTACAAAAGTAGCTTATGATATTTTTTAAAATATTTGTATATATAGTTCTCTCTACTTAAAGATCATTTATACAAATTCGACATACAAATATATATATATATATATACTAAATTATATATATATATATATAATAATCACAGATTAAATCAATAAATTAATTAAAAAGTAAATAAGCTTATATTCAAGAACTCTTAAAGGTTCAGCTTAAATTATTGTTACAAAACGAGTCTCTACGAGTACACATAGTGTAACGTAAAAATAAAAATATTAATATTGTATGCTTAAAATTTTAAAGCACATGCATTGATTAGAATTAATATTTTAATACAAATAATTAATAAACATGATTAATTAGTATATAACAATATAAAAATATAAATAGGGCGTAGAGCCAAATTAATTTAACGAATTATTTTAATTCATATATTAATACAAATTCAGACGTTTCGACTCCGATCGGGTCATTTTCAATAATACAATTATTTTACTTAAAATTAAATTAACATTATATTTTTACAATCTCCATAGTGTTGAAATTCATGGATTCAGTGCATTAAATTTGAACATTCATATTTGTATGTGTTTTATCTTTGATCCTGATAAAAAGTATAAAAATTAACATTGTTTAAAAATTCAAATACTAAATGTCTTATTAACCCTGTCAAAAATATTAAAATCTAATACAAATATAAAAGTCATATATACCTTGTCAAAAATAAAATAAAAATTTGTGATCTGTCCATATGTAAATTTATACTTTTTATCAGGATCAAAGATAAAACACATATAAATATGAATGTTCAAATTTAATGCACTGAATCCATGAATTTCAACAATATGAAGATTGTATAAATATAATGTTAATTTAATTTTAAGTAAAATAATTGTATCATTGAAAATGACCCGATCGGAGTCGAAACGTTTGAATTTGTATTAATATATGAATTAAAATAATTCGTTAAATTAATTTGGCTCTACGCCCTTATTTATATTTTTATATTGTTTTATACATATTGAGCCTTCTTATTATTTTTTATGATTAATTAGAATAATAGTCAATATATAAAACGTACTGTATAATAGAAGTCTCGAAAAATGTGATAAAAATACCTTATAGTAAAAGCACTTGACATACCGAGTCATAATTTGTCTAATTAGACGCGTGTGAGTATTCAAACGCATTCTATTATTAGTAGATAACAGGAAGTCAATTATCTTTAGACAAATGAAATGCAGAAATTATGAGTCACGAATCGATTTATTCATCTTTAGCAGCCATTTATCTTAATTTAGCACACAAAATTGTATTACTCTAACATCTTGAAGTAAATTTGCATTTTCAATCATTTCTCCATTCACCATATTTTTTTCTCCAATTGTAAATCTCAGAAAAACATATGATCATCTGTTACAACAACGACACGATACAAAAATTATATTTTTAATTTTTCTGTTATTACACTAAAATTGTATCTTAAAATTGTTATTACAAAATAATAATGATTCAACGTATTTCAACTTCTTTTCTGAAAAACATTATTTTTTAAGATGTATCGTTGTTATAAGAAATGAACAATATATTCAAGCAGTCCATAAATGCATTTATCTTTCAAACTTTAAGCACTTCTATTTTAATTAAAAGCAAGTTGAGAGAGATATTTCATGTATCTGTTGTTTGCGCTTAGTATACGATCTCATTTTCATAACAAATTTAACGCGGACGTCACGATACAAAAATTCATTTTATTCACATAAAGTCACATTTTACAAAATACATTTCAAGCTACATAAAAAATTTTTATTTGTACACAATATAAATTAAATAGATTACGAGTCTAAGCTAGAATGTGAGATATGCTATTTAATATTGTGGTAACTCGGCCATCAGAGGTCCAAGGAAGAGACTCGCGCCAATTCTCGCATGTATTCGAGATACGCGAAATCCTCTCTTTCATATAGAACCTCGATCTAAGATTCCTTCAGACGTCTGAGGCAGGCTCCCACTATGATGTCTTACTGACGAGTCCATTAGTGGGGGCCGGGACGACACAACAAAATTACGTGAAATTCTTCGCAATATATTAGAATAAATTATCAAAGAAATTTAGGTTTTTAATTGTAATTTGACTCTTACTTCGCTCTTTTTAATGTTATTTGTACATAAAATTAAAAATAAAAAGTTTGATAGAATCTTAATTAAAATTTACCTTTCTAGCGCAATTTTAATTAAAAGATTCTATCAAACTTTTTATTTTTAACTTTATGTGCAAAAGAATTTATTAAAATCTTTAATTTAAAAAGTTTTTAATTTTTAATTTAATTTATTGTGTGTGTGTGTGTGTGTGTGTGTGTGTGTGTGTGTGTGTGTGTGTGTGTGTGTGTGTGTGTGTGTGTGTGTGTGTGTGTGTGTGTGTGTGTGTGTGTGTGTGTGTGTGTGTGTGTGTGGCTTATTGACCTATTTCTCTATATTAGTTGTCAAAAAAATCTAGTTCTTATATGTAACTGTACTTTATATGTTTAAATGTTATTTACAGTGTTTACACTGAGATGGCCCGATAAGGGTAGAAACGTTTCTAATTTTTGTATTTTACATTTTATTTATATTAAATAGCATTTCACATCCAGCTTAGATTCGTAGCCTATTTAATTTCTATTGTTTTTATTTATTGAGTCTCATTATTATAATGAGTCTCATTATAATTTTATTTATACAATTCACATGAAAGCATACAGCGCACAAAAGAGGTATATACGAGAGCAAATCATTGAAATCCGTGTTAATAATGAAGACGCAAGTTTTTCACAAAATTTTTTTTCAATGTAATCTCCTTTTAGGAGGATATAATTTTTCCCAACGCTCTGCTATTTTTTTTAACCTCTCCGAAAAATACGAATGTCGAACTCTGTGATATAGGCCTCTATTTCGGCGATGATCTCCTCGTTCGACGTGAATCTCTTTCTACTGAGCCATTTTTTTTCGAAAATAGAAAGTTTCGAAAGTTGCGAAACAGGAAGAAGTCGTATGGGGCCAAATCCGGAGAGTACGATGGATACGGCAGCAATTTATAGCGTAATTCGATCAATTTGGCTGTGACGGCTGCGGAGTGAGCCAGGGCATTGTCGTGAAACAACACTTTTTTTCGCCAAATGGGGTTGTTTTTTTTTTCAATTCAACATCGAATCGGCCCAATAAATCAGCATAATACTGTCCCGTGATAATCTTTCCCTTCTCCAAATAATTAATCGATAAAGGTCACGCCTTGCGTATTCCAAAAAACAGTGGCCATCACCTTTCCAGCCGATGGGACCATTTTGGCTTTTCTTCGGAGCACGTTTATCAGATGAAGTCCACTGTGTTGACTGTTCCTTGATCTCCGATGTTATAGTGACGAATCCATATTTCATCAATGATTACTACTCGACGCAAAAACTCCTGCGGATTGCGCTTCAATAACTTCAACACTGCTCCCAAAATTGATAGCTACATTCGCTTATTGTCCACCGTAAGCAATTGCGGGGTACCCATTGGGCTTTTTTATTCCTAAGTTACCATACAAAATATTGAATGCCATTTCGTACGACAGCCTCTGCTACTTTACACATTTTTGTTCGGCGATCAGCCGCAATCATATCGTGGACCTTTTTAATGATTTCCTCAGTAACAATAACTACCGGGCGGTCTGGGTGTTCCTCATCAAAAACGGATGAACAATCACGTTTGAATTCATTGAACCAATATCTGATGGTTTTCATAAATGGTGAAGAGTTCCCGTAGACAGCATCCAACTTCGTTTTTATTTCTAAGCATGTTTTTCCATCCAAAAATAAAAAGCGAATCATGGATCGATATTGCTCTTTTTCCATTGTATCAAAAAACACTAAAAAAAAACTATCAAACTTATCTTCTTCTTCTTCTAATAGAATAATCTCAAATCAAACTTGTCAAATCAAACCATCACATAAATCAACCCTGAAATTTTGTATGGCATCATTTGACAGATTGTAGTACACGATGGTAATGTGTTAACTTACATTAGCAAGCTGCCTGTCTTCAAACACGGGTATTTATTGATTTGCCCTCGTACAAAATCACAATACTTTTACATACAAAATTAATCTCGGTTATATCAAATATTTTGCATGTAATACTACATGCAAAATTACAGTTCTAATTATTTTATGTTAAAACATTTTGCCATAAAGATAGACAAGTGATTAATGTTCGGCGAAATTATATATACGTATATTGGATTTAGTCACAAATGCGATAAATTATATAGCTAAAATTCTTACCTGGCATAAACTGCAGGATTTGATATACCAAGTGTTGGACTTACGGGCGTGCCGATATATTTAGTAACCAACTAAAATAAAAAATTAATAAATGGAATAATAACTTAACGATTGCATTTTATAAAAAATGAGATGTATTAATAAGTATTAAAATATTGAAAAGAAAAATTATAGTAATTTAATGTCCAAATATAAATAGCACACGTGCGCAATATACAAACAAGAAAAAATGTACATACCCAGTTATTACCGAGGGAAGTTGCACCCATGCTCACAGCCATGTGTATGGCTAAATAAGCGCAAAAAATAAGATACAAAATCGCATATATACACATAGCTAAATATATGGCCCAATGATGAGGTAGGTCTTCTTGAACAGTTTGTATCACAAAATATATATTTATCGTTATTACTAGAACTGACAAAGCAGTTGCCACGATTTTATTCAGTCTGCAATATAAATACAATACAGACGTAAAGAAGAAAGACAACTTTCAATATATTAAAAACATTGAAAATTAAAACACAAAGCTACGTACATTCCATTTCGAAATTCACCCATAATTTGAGCACTGCTTGTGAAAGCAATTGTTGGTAAAGTGGCAAATGGTAATTGTAAACTCATTGTAGCATTTAAAATGTCGTTCATGCCACTCAAATTGTTCATGTCAGCCAAAAATGCTACCAAAAACGTAGGAACTATGGCGATTGTTCGAGTAAACAGGACTCGCTTCCATCGTGCCCACTGCAGATTCAAAAATCCTTCCATTGCAAATTGACCAGCATAAGTACCCGTCATAGTAGATGATTGACCGGCGGCTAAAATACCAACAGCCCATATGTACATTGCAACTGCGCCGAAGGAGCAACCGAGAAAGATTCCTCCTTTGTAAAGATCAGCTTCAAACGTCGCATTGTTTTGCTGTAGTTTAGAGAAAAGAATATACTTAAAACCTTCTTTTTTTCTTTTATTAAAGAATTGGCTGAGAAACAGTAGTTTCTGCTGTGAAAAGAATCAATATAAAAAACTTAAAAACGCTTACCTGAAAAGTCTTTGTACCGAGTGTATAATTATTTGCTTCGCAAACTTTATACTGTAACATAAAACAGAAAAATAATTCAACTATTTTTTCATTTGAAATCACAATTAGTTTCAATAATTGTACTTACAACATCGTTATTCGTTTTATTATAGAGACCATGAGCAAATACAGCCACGACAAACACGTTGATTAGAAATGAAACAAATAGTGCAATGCATGCTTCAATGAAGTAATACATGTTAGCATCTTTGATCTTTGCAGGCTGTCTTCTATCAATATCTCTAGACTAAACAAATAAATAACATTATGTTTACATTTATATACAAAAAGGGTTTCCGGATTTTTAGGATAAGTTCGGGAGATAGTAGATCTCAAAAAATCTTTGTTAAAAAACCTGTGTCCTCTGACATTTTTAATGACGCATTTTTAAGGAGCTAGGCGTCCAGTCACGCGTGACAACTAACAATATTAGTTCATGTTCTTTGATTTTCTTTTTGCAAAATTTTTTTGACGATAAAAAAAGCAAAACGCTGTAAAAATGTTACCGCGTGATTAATTGTGTATCTCACAACTAATCCGAAGGACGCGCAGCTCCTTAAAAATGTGTCGGGGAGGACACAGATTCTTTAATAAAAATTCTTTCATTTCAAAATAATAAAGGAATTTATTCTTTTTGAGAAATTTATCATCTCTTGAAGTTTATCTTAGAAATCTTAATACCATGTACGTTAAGGAATCAGTCGCGCATGTGTTTATTATTCTTACTTTGACTAAGGCACTGTGAAGGTACAAATTATGCGGCATAATGACTGCGCCGACGATTCCTACAGCTTGGAGCAATACTTTGTTATCGTAATTCATTCCATTGTACCATGGAACAAACATACCTCTTATAACATCTATTTGAGAAGGTGCGGCAACTACGTACTGAAACGAAAGCCATTGTAACATAATGTGGGATTTACATGAGAACTACAATCGAGATATTTTGAAATAAGTCTACCTCGTAACCAAAGGTAATTGCCATGATCGAGATGAGAAAACCGAAGAAAAATTCCAATTTTCTCAATCCATATTTATCCAAAAATAAAAATGTGAATGTATCAATTACTGTGATAAGAACACCACCCCATATAGGAATCCTGAAATGCAACTTTTCTTATCACAAATCTTCTGTATATTTATATGCATTAATTGATTATAAATTAATTCATAGTAACAGAAAAAGAAAGAAATAAAGATAATCAAAGAAAAATAACATAAATACATGAAAATAAACTGTTTAATAATATTTGCAACTTAAGTAAACATAATCTGTAAATATACATACGTATATTACGCGGATTATAATATGTTCTTCTATAGTATATAAAGTATTTTTATATATCATTTTTTATTCCCCAGATATTTTGTATTTAGTTAGAATTATTTTCTCAAGTAGAGATTCAATGTCTGATTTTGAATGTTCCAGATATTCCGAAGAATGTTTTGTATGCGTTAGCTTACGTGTATAAATAAATATTTAACAATCGTATCAAGCACTTACGCTGTATTAGATAAGAGGTAAAGGGCAATAGCCGTTCCTATTACCTCTTGCATATCACTACCAATAATTGCTATTTCAATCATTAACCATAAAATAAGTCTAGGTACTTTTTTGTATTGTCTGAAACACATCTCTGCCAGATGTAAACCGGTTACTACGCCGAGGCGCGCACTGAGTCTTTGCATAACGAGACCTAAGATAGTAGCGCTTAATAGTACCCATAATAACTGAAAGCAAAGACATCAACAAGGATTATCATTACCAAAAAAAAAGATAATCGAAAATTAATATAATAGTAAAATTAATAAAACTGATTGCAGTAACATTTGTTTTCATTCCAGCAGGTGTACCTTGTATCTTGCTACCACTCCGGATTGTAGATCCGATTCTATGTTGCCAGGATCCAAATAAGCTATGGACATTAAAAACCCAGGTCCCGTGAAAGCCCATAGTTTTCTAAAACTAAAACCTGTCTGCAAATAAGAATTACAGTCCTTGAGAGATTAATTTTGAACGCATTACTGCACATTGATGCATATTAAAACTGCCATACACTAATCTAATCTAGTAAAAGTAAAATACAAATACTTTGAATTATAAAATACATACATATTTTATCCAACAGCATAATAAAGTGTAAGAATGTGAGACAGTAAATACACGATAGGAGTGAAACGATAAGAACATAAGATGGAAAGAGTATAGGATAATAAAAATGACTAATGTACAATTGAAAAGTATAAGTAATATAGATATATATATATATATAAAACAGATTTCAGACTATAAAAACCTGGCATACACTGTTTTTGATAAGTTGAAATCAATTTTTTTTAATTCCCTGTTCCTATATTGTCTCTACTATTTAATTGTGTGCCTTATCAGGCTTAAAAGTATGAATGTGAGGTGAGAATGTGCTAGTCAAGCATTTAGAAACTTGATATTGTCCTTTTTGTTCTTTATTCATCGTTTATTAACGAAATCGGTTAAACATACTAATTTCGCGAAAATTTCGTGATTTATTCCGTTTTTACATTGTTATGCCCGAACCGTCTCGACACTCGTTAAGTACCGGAATTCGCTGTCCCTGGAGTAAAAAGATCGCGTTGCCTATCTAGCATATTATATTAAACATACATGTTTATATTAATTTTTATACGATTGTTTCAATGTACACTAAGTGCATCCAACGAATTTGCTAAAAGTTATGGTGCTAAAAACAAGAACAATATCAAATTGCTAAGATTGACTAACAAGATGATATAATAAACTACAGTAAATACACTAGTAAGATGATATATTATTTACTAATGTAAATTTACTAATTTAAATAATATATCATCTTACTACATTAGTAAATAAAATGTTAATTTTAATTTAAAGACATATAGTAGACTTTCTGATACAAAATGTTAAAATTAACATAAAAATGTTATTAAATAAAATTATGTTAAAATTTACATAAAAATAGTAATTTTAACATTTCTACATTTCAGAAAGTCCACTATACTTCTATGTCTTTAAGTTAAAATTAACATTTTTTTAACAGTAAGTTTTTAAGTGCTTGTGACTAGCACATTTTTACTGTCCCACACTCATACTTTTACTATCGTGTAATTGTGTTATTCTTATCGTCTCACTCTTTTATATTGTACATATACTTTTTCACCTTCTTACTACCTTACTGAATAGCACACAGAGGATACAAGGATCGACTTACATGTCCTGTTTCTGGTACTTGCACTCTTTCATCGGCGAAATAGGTTTGATCGTGGCTGGGAGACAGCGAAGTGTTCTCGTTGGGCTTTCCAGCCTCTGACTCCTGCATACGCTGATGCGGTACTGTGGTGACATCGTCACTAGATTTCACGTCGTAACTACTGTGCATAGTGTACTAATAAAACACTAAAAAAGAAGACACTTATAAAGCAGAACTTTCTATACGCAGAACATAAAGTTAGATATCGGAGTGATGAAATCGAGCGAAGGAAGACTATGATCCTGATAAAACATACATATCTGAAAGAAGAAAAAAGAGAAAATGTTAGATAATCGTCGGCGACGTACGAAACTATTTTAATGGAGCACCGGGGGGCTAGCTCTCCTTCGTTACAACAAACAAAGAAAAAACACAGGTGGAACTGGTAAATCTGTAGTAGATCTCTGGATCGTGAATCGTCGTGCCGAAAGTCGGTGACCTGGGACAAAATAAAGTATTTCTCTTCGGAGTATTTTGACTCACTTTGGAAAAATGGAACACGCGAGTCAACGAGATTGGGCAGCCAAAGATCACGTCCGGATCGATGTCATCGATGATCGATCAAACGCGTACCGCGAAAAATCACCAATCAGTCACTTCACTATCCAGCTCACAGCTGTTGACTGCAGTAGTGAAGCAGCGCAACGAATCGGTCGAACGCTACAAACTTGGCCGCGTAATGTGGCAGGTTGGAGCTTGGAGCTCTTGGTCTTGGAGTGGGGGACTGCCAGGGACGTAGTAAAGCAAAATTCCGAAGTGCGTCAAGATTATTGATAAAAAATTTGTGTTATTTACTGACAAACATGTTTTTTATGATTAAATTTCTTTGTAATAATGCATACTTCTTATACCTAAAGTGAAATAAGCATGTTTGATATTTGACAAAAGGAAAATTCTAGTGCAGTTCAGTGCAGTAATAAAAAAGCACAATTAAGTTTTTCGCGAATTTAACTGAATTTAACTAATAAGTTAACTGGAACTTGGTTGAAATCAAAAGCGTGACTTTGAAGAGTAACTTCAACGGATTAATTTAAACAACAGCAATCTTATCAAAAAGTAGATATAGTATCTGGATAAATTAATTTTTGTAAACACATATGGGATAAAAGATCAGATCGAACTTGGAGTCTCCTAAGGAATTAAATATTAAAAAATTTGTTATAGCAAACACGTACAATTCTATTTTAGTTGAACTACAATCGTTGACTATGTTAATTAGATTTTCGAAATAGTAATTGGTTAATTAACAGTTAGTTATAAAAGTAAAAAGGTTAGCAAGTTGATAATTTTTTATTTTTTAATAGTTAAAAAATTAATAATTTTTATCTTATTTATTAATTTTTAACGTTTACTTTAATTACAGTAATGTTGTAAAGTATATATCAATTTTAACTTATGACTTTTCCAAAGTTATAATTTTTTGTATTGAATATCGATCAATTATTCTCTTTTTAAAACGTTAGACAATTAGACAAAATCCATGATTGCAGTAGGCATGCTGCCTTTCTAGTGCACAGCCACTTACATATATTTCTCTCGAGTTTAAAATAATAAAGATAGTATATTAATTTATTTAAAAGCACTGTTTCTCTTTAATTAAAATTTTACTTAAATAATGTATATATATACACAATAATACAAATATTTTTTTATAATAATCTAAGTACGAATCACATAACATATATTAGGGAGTTGCATTAAAAGCCCCTGTTCACGTTTCTGCGTATGCTACAGTCTGTGCTCTTCGCTTTACTTATGTCATTTTGAAGTATGAACATTTTCCACTAAAATTCAGTCAACAGACGTCATTCTTGTTTACACATGTGCTTTTCTATGACTGAATTAAAATGGAACATGTGGTCTGTTTTCTATTCCTGCACTATAGACTGAACTAGAACTCTCTTTCTCGCTTTCTACAAATATCAAACATATACCTATCTCACTTTAAATTCTAAAAGTGTACACTAGAAAACAGCCACAGAAAACAGACCTATATGATAAGTTGTTTTTCCGACGTGTATTTCTACACTATTTTGAAAAAAAGTACAGCTGAAACTAATCGTATGCTCGTATAAACTTATAGTGAATCTGCTCCATCGGAAACAATATGTAGAGACTGGTTTCGCCGATTTAAAAGTGGTGATTGTTCACGACAAACAACGAACAGGTCAGCTAAAAAAGTTCTAAGATGAACAACTGCAAGCTCTATTAGAAGAAAATTCAACTCAAACATTCACAGAATTGTCTGAATAACTCGAAGTCGATAAAGCAACTATTTCACGATGTTTATAAGCTATTGGAAAGATTCAGAAAGAAGGAAAGTGGCTGCCACATGAATTGACCAAAAATGCCATTGCCAATGTTTAAACATTTCAATTTCTTTGCTTGCAAAGCATAACAAGAAGAATTTCTTGTGGTGTATCGTGACCGGTAATGAAAAATGGATCTTTTTCAACAATCCGAAACGCAAAAAATTATGGGTTGATCCTGACCAACCATCAATATCGACTCCAAAGCAAAATCTACGGTTACAAAGCAATGCTCTGTATTTGGTGGGACATGGAAGGTGTCGTGTATACCGGCTATAGTTGTTGCTATAGCCGTAAAATAAACACTGATCTCGAATGGGAGGTTTCTCCCGCATCCAGCGTATTCTCCGGATTTGGCACCAAGTGATTATCATCTGTTTCGATCGATACAACACGCTCTGGAAGATACACACTTTTATAATTACATGTAATTATAGCGAAGTCGAAAATTGAGTTGCTGAATGGATTGACTCAAAAGACAGATCATTCTTTCGTCGCGGAATTCAATTTCTGCCAGAAAAGTGGCAAAAAGTCATAGCTTCCGAGGGAAAATACTTTGATTGAAGTATTCATATATTTTGTTATTGGAATAAATGCAAAAGGATACAAAAGAAAAAACAACGGCTTTTAATGCAACTTCCTATCCATCTTTCCAAGGATGAAAATGTAAAAAATCAATAATTTCTTCATTATAACTTGAAATAATAAAAATCTTCACTTTTTTATATTTCCGCTCTAAGGAACATGTGAGAGTGCTAATTTTTTAAATAGAATTCCTTACACAGATCATCTTTTCTTTTTTCTTTCTCTTCAACGTTAAAAGAAAAACAGAAAAGATACATCGTGCAAGAATTAATTCAGCTAAAAAAAAGAAGGACCTTATAATTCATGAAAAATTTGAGAATACGGTCCTAGCTATATGTACAATTGCTACCCAATCAGTACAGATTAACATTTCAAAAATATATTTTTAATATTTATTTAATATTATTGATCTTATATTAAAAATGTTATAAAATTAAATATTTTATAAAAATATATTCTTAAAACATTGTCTAACTGATTGAACAAATGTTCTTCTAATGACTCTGACTACGCTGCAGTGTGCAATTCAGAAAAGTCTTCGTCTACGACAGGAGAGGTCCAAGTTCTTTGAACCGCGTCATCAGCGGGTGACATCAGTCATTATAAAAGGCAAACATTCTGCTAATGCCTAGAAGTCTGCACGCGTGCCTTGGTTCACGAAAAGAGACCGTGACACGATCCTGGGAGATCCCCGAGTTTATCGGCGATGTCGCGACGTGTCGTATCAAATTGCGCGGAACACGCGCATCCTTTTATCCACTTTCGCATATCTAGCTCTCTTTATTTTACAAAACGTCCTTCTCGCGCATATAAGTAGCACGCATTATTATTCTGCATCGTATATTGCAAATTCCACATTCGATATACAAATGCAGTCAGCGGTTGAATTGTACTAGTGTGATACATAATACATAATGCCAAACGAATATGTAATAAAGCAGTTGCAAAAGAAATCAGATTAATATCGCAATTATGGCATGATTTTTAGAATTATAAGATTTACAAAAAGAAAATTCACTCTTGTATCGATATCGATAACAACTAAAGTTAAGAAAGTATATGTATATGAAGAGTGTTCCACTATAAATTCATCTATACTGAATTAAAAGAGATAAACTAAATAATTAAGTATAATATTTAATTAAACATTTTGAACTCTGTGAATATGATCGTTATCATAACATAACACATGTATATTGATTATTAATAATCAGAATTATTTATTTATTGTTTTATTTTTATACTTTATGAGCTGAAAAGACTTTGCAATATCTTTTAGAAACGCATTTTGCCTAGGAATTTTACTAGCAATTAGTAGTAAAAGAACTATTTTTAAATATTCATTAAAAAATGCAAATATGAAGTAAGAAAAAAAATCGAGATGTTCTTCTCCGAAGAGCGATGTTCGGTTGAAAAATGTGCATTTTATTCGATAGCGTGAAGACATAATGTTTTGCCTGACAATTGCCACGTAACTTGATATCTATACCGATATTTTAGTATTCCACGATTAGATACTGCGAAGATGAGTATAAATTCATTTTTCTAGTCTATTTTGCTGCTGGACACCAAAACTAAAATAGTTCATAAAAATGCTGAGATATGTTATCACGTATAGTTAAAAAAAAATATAACGAAGATATTTTCAATTAGATTACCTATCCTGTCACACACACATAGAGATATATAGGAAAATATTACACAATTATTATAAAAGAACAAATTTTTAAAGATAAGAAAATATTACACAATTAATAGAAGAGTGGATTTTTCGAAGTATTATATGAAGTGATAGAAGCTTTTAATCGCGATAAAGTAATTAAGTGGTGTGATAATAACACGTATGCATGCAGTTGCGTATGCTTTATTAGTCTACTTCTTTGTTTTTGTGTAAAAAGTCAAGAGAAATTACACTATTACATTCATCAAGTTTAAGCATCAAGCACAACAGGTAATACGATAATATACAAAACAGTAATGCGCGATAATAATACGCGACAACTTGTTATTTTTACTCTGTTAGTTGTTTTTCGCGAAAAGATAAAATACAAAATGCAAATGACCGCAATTAAAGCGTAAGCATAGCTCTTATATAATGATCGTTAGTTTTTAAGTGTAATACCAGCAAAAGCGGCTGACAGAAAGAAGCAAATGATAAATATACAAAGAGTACGTCGATTTTATGTAAATTTTACAAATTAGCTATCACTAATTTTCTAAAAGAATGCGCGAGAGAATTTAAGGGCTATGGAACTTACGTTAATTTATGAGAATTTTTATTAGTACAATGATCTTTTAGAATAATACTTTGATGAAATTCTAATTAACTAATTAATTGATCATCAAATTAATAATGATGATCGTTATTTTGTTATCTGTTACTAATAGTAATCGTTAAGAATTATAAGTGCAGTAATACTGTTATATCAAATTTGGATAATGATTAACGGATGAAATGGTTATTTTCGTTAATTAACAATTTTACAAGAGCAATAATAACGTTTCAGATCTTAATCAACTTAATCAATGCTTATCTAATCGTTTGTAACTTGCTTTTTGAAGACACTGTTTAGATATAAAACGTTTAACCATTATAATTGTTCGATTAAAGAGCTATTATAATTGTCAGATAATTAAAAATATATTATAAAAGAATATTTAAATTTCTGATGTATATTCAAATTGCAATTTTTTATGAATAACGCAAATTTGTATCATATGTATATATAATAATATGCAAATACATCAGAAATTTAAATATTTTTTAATAATATGTTTATAATATTAATTTATAAAAATTAGAAAATAATAGAATTTTTTAAAAAATATAAAAAAATATACAAAAAACATTACTTGTTAAGAATTGTTTATCGATCAAAACTATTACACTGTATTGTTAGTAATTGTTTAATCAAACAACTATTTAAATAATCGGTTTTAAAGTAACAGCTGTAACTGTTTAGTAAAAATAATTGAACTCCGGTATCAGAATTGTATTAAAACAAGTTGACTTAAACTTGATACTCATATGTAATTTATTATTCATAATTTCTCTAATCCTTCTGTGTTAAACAATAAATTAATTCTCTTTGTGTTGACAGCTTAATAAAATAATATAGATGTTACTTGACAAGATAATTGCGAATTACATTAATTAAAATCGAAATCATTCTTATAAAGACGTTTATGATAAAAGAATCTTCTTTCATTTCTGATAATTTACATTAATTTTTATTGGTTCTCATTAATTTGCTGGGCAAATCTACATGTGTGATTAATGTTTAATTTTTGACTTTACGACATTGTAACAATAATAAAAAATCGTGATTCATCTCGGTAATTCCGGAAACAAGGAAATCTCGAATGAAACTCGGAATATATCAACTGACGGAAAATAATTATCATTGTATTATATATTGTATCTTGAAATAACTTTTCTGACATATAAGCTTAACACTTTTGTTATTTGTTTTTCGCTTTTTGTCTCTTCCCTTTTTTCTTATTTGCAACCATTTTATCAACAATCTTGTTTCGCACGTATTGCTTCGAGTATTTCTCGTTTCTTTCGAAGATAGTCAACTTTTATCTTAGAAAAGGAAGCTCAAGATAAGAAGCAAAGAGGCAAGAGACAAAAAGCTGTAAAAAAACGCAAGAAATAGGAAGCAATAAAGAGTAACATTATAGAAATTAGACTTTAAAGTATTTCCATATTATATTACTCATTTGCTATATATACAAGAACTGAAAATAAATTGTCACTTGTTTAGTTATTTGGAAAAAAAAAAAAAATGAAAACATAAAGACAAAAAGAGAAAATATATATACTTTAAAAAATACATATATTTTATATTTTTCTATAATTAATTATTACATCAAAATTGGTTTTCAAAATTAATATTACGAAATTTTATATAATGATTCAAAACATTCAAACTCATTTTCTAGAAAACTTTGTTTTTTGAGTTGTGTCAAATGATTATATATTTCATATATAGCTGATAAACCTATATTAATCTAGGAAGTTCTTCTGAAGTTTTTTTCTTTTACATAAAAAGAAACTAAAAAGACAAATTAAGAGTCAAAAATTAAAAATTATTCTTTAATAACGTAGTAAAAAGATAAAAAGAAGTAATATAAATTCACATAAAAAACATGACTAAAATTGAAGATATAAACGTGTGTACATAAATTTTTTTCTTTTGTAAGTTTTAAACGGAATAAGTGAAGATTTATAAAAGTCAAAAGTTCTACACGTGTATGAATGATTTATTTATTAGTAATCATCATAAATATTATATTATATATATCTGTTCAGCAGCAGATAACTTCTGACAACCTCAACGTTGCAGATAAAGTTGAAGATAATAAGACTATATCTCGAGCGGATATTAGTCGTCGTTACCTTGACGCTGCAAGGGACCGTGAAGTTGATTCCTGTTAGTTCCTGCTCTTTAAAATCCCGACGACAATGCTCGTGAATGCGTCATCCACCTCACGCACTCTCTCCTACTCCGCCCGATCAACTGGTCCAAACTCTCACCGGCGCGGGAGGCAGATACTGCACATAGTCATCGCGCGTATCCGCTGTCATCCTCCGTGGTACTCTGTGCGGTACTCGTGAACATCCGGACGGCTCATATATATGTATACTCGGGGAAAGAACTTCGCGAAAAAGTTCAAGAAAGTCATGGAAATCTAGGAAACCATCATTGACGGCGCATTCATTTTGCTTGTGAGACGGAATCTATCGAGCTGACTCCCAGGTCACCGAGGGTGTGGTACAAAGATAACACGCGACTTCCGTCACGCGCCGATAAGGGGGGCCCAGTGAGTCGCGTTCATGCACTGAGAAAGGTGGGTCTGAAGAAAAAAAAGGATTATTCTTCTGATCCATGCAGAGAATCATTGACGAGGACGACGAATCAACTAGGTACGTGTATATATATATATATCCTTCAGTAGAATCATATGTTTGTCCTCGATAAAGGATAAGTGTAATTGAAGCGACAATAACAGCCTTCGACGTCTCATGAATCACGAGAGTCTCATGTGTCATCTGGTTTTTCTCTTTCATACCTTCCCTACTCCTCTTTCTCTAGACTAGGATAGCCCGACAGACCATTGGACTGGATACTCCTCTCTCTCTCTTTCTCCCTTCCCCTCTCTCTTTCTCTCTCTTGAGTGTAGAAAGTGCGTACTTTCGTGCTCGAAGTACTCGTACAAGGGTCGTTGCCATTACGCGACTGTTCCTGCTGTCAAAGTCAAAGCTGTAGTTCGATCGCGAGTCCGAATGACTCCCTTTTAATTTTTACAGGCCATCTCGCACCAGTCATACTGCAGTTCGTGTTCGAACCTCCTGAGACTGGTGGCTCAGTCAGGTAAGATCGACAATAAAAGTGACGTGGAGAAACCGAATTAATACAGACGAAAGTCGATTCTATATCTTGAAACAAGATGAAAATTTAAAAAGTGAGCAAATATAGGTGTTAACTAATAAAATTATGAACATTTTAGCACATTCACTTAATTATCAAGATACCTCGTTTCAAGATATAGAATTGATCCCTAGATCTCAAATTAATTTAACCTGTCTCGTCGCAGAAGTTTAAGAATTTAAATCAAAGTATAAATGTTTTATTTATGTTAAATTCTTTATGCTATATTGGCTACGTTTACACCGTGCACTTAGGCCGCGGCCTATACAATAGATGTTCTTGTTTATTCTGTAGGTTAAACAAAGACACCTATCTCTGATAGGAAGTTCATTTCCCTTCGACCGAGACACTAAAAAAAGAGAAGGATGGCGAACCTGGGCAATTTAGAGCAGCAGATCTCAAGCTTGCAGATCGGCGATGAGGCGGCCAAGGGTGCTGTCAAGCCTGGCAAGAAGGTCGGACCTGCGGTACCGCCGAAGCCGAAAAAATCTCAACCTCAGGTGAATTCTAATCTCCCAAATATAAATCATACCTGTCTCTACTTGTCATATATACTAATAAGAATGTTTCCCTATTTGCATGCATCCCCAAATACGGATGCAAAAATGGTAACGAGATCCTGTATATTCAATCAACGAAGCCATCCACGAAAATCCTAATTAATTACCTATCTGTTTTAGATACCGCAAAGTTATACCATAAAGACTCCTCCTGTGCCATCATACAGCACAGTCCTTAATAATACATCCAGCGACAAGACCTCAAATTTATACATGAACGCACCCTCGCCGTACGTCCCACTGGATATAAAGAATGACTTTTCACAGATGACACCTGCGAATGGCAAGGAAGCGTCAAAGATTTATCAGAACAATGACAATTTATACACTCGTCAGCCAGAGGAGAAGTTTGAACCGAAGTACAGATACGACGAAAAGAATTATTACTCTAATATAGGGAACATGCCGGCACCTCAGGTACCTGTGGCGGAAGATCGTGCGAGCAGGGCAACCAGAAACGCAGTATACAGTAACATAGAACCGCCAGTAGGCTCCACTTATGAGTATGTTCCATACGAAATGGAGAAAGAAATTATATACAGCAACATTCAGTGGAATCCTAAAACAGAGAATACATATTGTAACGTTCCTGCTACACATGGAGCTGGTAAGAATCTTTCTAATAGCGAATTTGGTTACTTGCATTACACTCGATTAGTGCATTTTAAAATACGGATAAGTATAAAATTAGAAAATTAAATGTAAAAGCTTCTATAAATATTTTAAATAGTTAAATAATGATATCATTAATATAAAAAATGTCACGTTATTTAAGACAAAACAGAACATACATATTTTGTTTATTATTACATTGTCAAAATTATATTATGCTATTGCATTCAGATAGTTTATATAAAGCAGCTTTTTTTGTGCACTAATACAGTGTAGTGCGAATGACTGAATTTACCTAAAATCTGGAAAAAAAAAAAGTTAAATTAGAATAAATCATACAAAAAGAATGATTTTGCTGAAGAAGTATCTAAAAACTTAGCTATATATTAACCTGAAAATAATTTTGTTGAATCATTAAAATAATTACGTAGGACGCTTAAGCATAATGAGCAATGCTATAAAAGTTGTAAACTAATAAAGTGTCTAAACCTCTTTAAGAAGTGGAAAATAAGATCCGGTTTTGCAGTAATTTTTTGGCAAATCAGTACAGTATACCGATCTTTCTGCTTGCAGACGATTTGCCACCTCCGCCTGAGCCGTCAGAGTATGTTTCCTGCGTACCTGGGAATTCGTTTCCACCGCCACCCGATGAGCTGCCTCCACCACCGAGTCCCGTCTCATCGAGTTACAGTGAGTTGAGACGTGCTACTTACCAGACGGATTTTCCATCAGGCAACTATCCCGCTGATATCTATGGCCCGAGTTCTCAGTCCAGCTCAACATACGAATCCATATATGAGCCGATTAATCCCAGACCACCATCGCAATTGTCATGTAATTATTCCATGTACTCCGGCTATGGGTCGGCTACGTCTACTCAGCCGCAGGGCAAAGTGTCTCCCGTTAAAGAAGTAAGTCTTGAAATTCTATACTGTATGTCAAATTTATCGAATTATTTTTAATTTGTTAAAATGTAAGAAAAAAATAAATTTCACATTGCACTCACATATTTTATTCGATTTTTATACTTAAAGTGTCTATAGTTTTATTTATTTGTAATAAGAGAAAGAAATGTAATTTAATTTAAAAAATTAGATTAATTTTGATAATCATTGATTACACTATAAAATAATTGAATACAATTGTAAAGTAGTATGTGTATCTGAAATTAAAAAGCTAATTTTATCTACAGGTCGACGTTCTTACGGATCTGTTAGTTCAAGGAATGGAAGATAATAATGAAGACAGTGATATATATGGCATCTGTGCGCAATGCGGGCGCAAAGTAGAGGGAGAAGGAACCGGATGCTCGGCGATGGATAAAGTCTTTCACATAAGTTGTTTCTGCTGCTTCGTTTGCAAGGTCAATCTACAAGGAAAACCTTTCTACTCATTGGAAGGTAAACCTTATTGCGAGGAGGATTACCTCAATACTCTGGAAAAGTGCTGCGTTTGTACTAGACCGATATTGGACCGAATATTGAGAGCTACTGGCAAACCATATCATCCTTCGTGCTTCACCTGCGTTGTCTGTGGACAAAGTCTTGATGGTATACCGTTCACTGTGGACGCAACGAATCAAATACACTGCATTCAGTGTTTCCACAAGTGAGTTTACCCCGGTTTTTTTTGTTTGTTTCTTCAATTATTATTCAATTCTAGTTAACTAATTCACATTCTTGCGTTTATAGGAAATTTGCTCCACGTTGCTGCGTCTGTAAACTACCTATAATGCCCGAGCCTGGTCAGGAAGAGACCATACGAGTGGTAGCACTAGATCGCAGTTTCCATATTCAATGCTATAAGTGTGAGGATTGTGGATTAGTATTATCATCCGACTCGGAGGGACGTGGCTGCTATCCCCTAGACGATCACATCTTGTGTAAAAGTTGCAACGCTACCCGTGTCCAAGCCTTAACGTCTCATATGACGACCGAATTATAAATATATAGACGCGACAGCTTATATAATTTGTTGAAACTTCGAGAATATGAATGAAATGTTAAATCAAGTATCGTGATTAACTGTAGCGATATAAGTACCGTTATGCAAAGTGTTTCTTAATAATGCCCTAATGCACTAATTATATAGAGCTATTTCTGATTTAAAAAAAACTGATTCGAAGAGTCCTTTATCATTTTGCAATTTTCGCAATATTTTTTTTATTACTCGATGAACAAAATATCGAAAATTGATATATAAGACAACTTTAAGATATCTTTTTCAAGTACTTTTAGAAACATTCTTCAAAATATTTCATTAAGAACACTGAAAGATTGAAACAATCTTAAAATTTTCATATTTATCGATTTTATCCGTTTATTTGATAATTTTTAGAAATATTCTAACTCTGTTACAAAAATTGCAAATGGTAGAGGACTTTTTGACTCAGTTTTTTTTTAATCAGAAATAGTACTATATGATTAATAGGAGTTATTTAAGAAACCTCCAGAGTATATACACGGTATTATAGGTCCTTTTTTATGTGTACGTAAGATTTCTATTCCGCTACTACTATTTACACTTTATATATTCAAAACCGATATTTGCTATCCTATTATATTAACAAAAAATCATTTTTTAACACTTTACCTGTTAGCAGATTAAGGAAATTATACTGTCCGTCTTTGAACTTTTTTTATAATTTTGCACAAAAAGAAAACGATTGTCAACGATTATTTATATGCTAATCTTTAACGATTATATGATCAATGCATTAGAATTCCATCACTGCCATAACCGAAGCATTTTCTCTGTACATTACGGAATAATATTGGCAAATTAATAGTAGATATAAGTTTGACGTCCGAGGTAATTTTCCTGCAGATGTGATTATCATTGTGATTCTAGTAAAGTATTCGATGTATCGTAAAGTATTTAACGCGTAGTTTATCGTCGACAGAAATATCGCTTTAATCCATTTATTTAGAGATTAGATCTTAGATTCGGGAAGTAGGATTATTATGGACAATATCGGTATATCGGCGAGAAAGCGTGCCATTTCTTCTTGTAAACATATCTTTTAAATGGATCCCTTTGCAAGATTATCGAGAAAGGAAAGATAAACGCTCAATCCCAAGCACCTTACGATGCAATTAGTTTCCGAAATTTTTCGCATGGATAAGATATTACATCGAGGAGAGACTTGTATGATCTCTGTATTATAGTATCAATAAAAATACAGTTTGTTATTTATGGCCAAAGAGTAACACTTCGTTTTTGCTGACCGTTCTTGCCCATCCGATGATTTTCACTACGCATGTAAACATTGCATTTTTAACCTGCATTTACCGAATGACATCGGTTATGATCGAGCTTTGCATGTTTCACTATTTCAATGAAAGTTGCTATTAATATATATTGTTATATTACTATTGTGATTGTTAATAGTTATACACGGTGGCTCAAGCTACCTTATCCCTCCTTCCAGTTACAGATTTTCTCAAGAATTCGAAGTTTTTTCTTAGCAAAAAATTGTTTTTACAGTAAAATTGTTTTTCTTAGCAAAAAACCAATCTTTTTTTTACAATAATTTGTAATATTTAACATTACCAACATTGTTATTTTGTTAGTGCTGCTTGAAATCAAATAAAGGATAAAAGTTTTTTAAATTCTTATTTTCCTCAAAACTTAAAATAAAATTAGATACATAATTTTTATTTCGGAAACTATCAGAGAATATTTTTGTTATGGAGAAGTCAATTTCAAATTTACGAGAAAATCTGTAGCCAAGACGAAGTCAGCAATTATACAACCTGTAGACATATGGTGTGTGTATGTATATATACATAATTATACACACACACACACACACATACACACACCAGATGTATATATGTACACATTAATATTGTTATAATTGTAGAAGAAATTTACAGCAGATTCATTCTATATCATCTTTTTACTAATTTTTTTTCTCTATGATTTTCATGCACAGATGTTTGTCTTTTATTATTATTAACATCTCTTTTTAGATATTTGCATCTCTTTTTTTATATGCATAACATATTTTTTATTACCATAGAGTACTTAAATCTTATATAATTTTTGTGATATATATATTATATATATAACCTGTATGCCATTTTGTATAATTTATGTTTATTAATACATAAATTTGTCTCACCGGCACACGTGAATCGTGGAACACGTCCTTCTATGTTTCTTCTTGGTAAAATGAACGATACTATCGATTCTACTATACTTATGTATATGGAGGTATATCAAATTATAATTTCACGATGGATACATTGTGCATCAATGTATTTGGCGACAGTACGAATCTAGAAATAATTTAGCTCACCCAGAATAATTCGGGTAAACCGCAAAACATTTGAAATTATCGTCCAAGGTAAACAAATATAACGAATACTTATTATCATCATCCGATGTATCCAATGTGCAAATAATCTTGCCGTCGACTCGCGGGAAATGTCTCACGTTAATAATACCTTGTACTAAGTCGCGGTATTTATTATAGAGCGACGTGGCTTCACTGCGAGATAATAAATTAACACAGATTGTCACGAAACTCGCACGCTTTTTAAATCTCCGACGATTTTCGCAAATGGGCGGCCGGAAACCAGGACGAAATTCCACGATCCGAAATGCACTCTTTGCTGCGTATGATACATTCGTAAATTCTATACTCTTTACTACACATAGCTCTGGTGTCTATCTTAGACTCCTCTGTTTTTCTTTTTTATCCTCTTTAGATTAAAACTATAATATATTTTATGTAATATATATTTTATAGTATTTCCTCCAATCAAGTACAGCACCATTCTACGTTAAATTTAGTACAGGTTTTTTAATACTCAGTTTTAATCTAACAATATTCGTTCGATTTGTTAGCTTTGTTGTACCAAAGTCAACATAGAATTGCACTTTTTTTTTTAATAATCTAGCACTCTTCCTCTTTTTCTCTCTTTCTCTCTTAAATAGATTCATGTATTTTACACATACACACACACGCACATATATATATATATATATATATACACATGACATATATATGTGTATGAAATTGCGTGTGCCTGTATGAATAGATACACGAGCCACACTGCTCACATATAAATCTGTACTTGCACGCAGTAAATCACAGCCACCTATCCAAATTCGCGCGCAAGCACAAATACATACGACTAAATAACGCATATCTTTTTCGCATTTACATTCTAGATATCTTCGGTATATGTTTTATCAACTCGCTTTGACATTATATATATATATATAATTATATATATGTATATATATTATTATATGTGTATATATGTATATATAATCATATATATACATATTATATATATAATTATATATATATGTACATATATTACGTGTAAATGTGCATATCGATACACGTGTACGTGCGTGTGCGTACTTATACGGAAATGTATGCACTCACACTATGGATATGTACACATACACATATTGCTACACATACGAGGTTGTCCTCTTTCGCGTTTTGTCTATACGTAGTACTAAGGTGTCATAATAAGCTGCATTCTCTCTCTCACTCTCTCTCTCTCACTCTCTCTCTATTTTCTCTCCCTCTACTTGTGACACTCATTCATACAACTCGTAACACTTTTTCATTCATCCTCTCTGTCTATAACATCTCTCTCATCGACGTGACATAACATGACTCGTTTATTATATTTTAACCGATAGCTCTTTCCTTACAGAGTTACTCTCTCGTATTCGCCGGACCCTTACAGTATCATCATCATCATCATACTCTCACACTTCCGAATTCACTGGGGCTACAGTTGGGCGCACTAGCATCACACATGTCCATAAATCAATAAATAAATAGAGGAACAATATTCTTCAAACATCTCTTTTTTTTTCTTATATATAACAACATTAGAGGCTCTCGGAGAACGTAACGCAACAAATGTTCAACAATACAATTACGAAAACAAATAGAAGGCACTCTTGCTTTTATTTTTTTTTTCTCAATAAATTAATCTCCTTGTATTATAACAATTCACTCTCAGATATTATCTCTACGCCTTCTCCTAGGCCTTGTCTGTCACGTTCGTATTTAGCTACGTATCAATACAACGTTCGGATGTCGTTGGAATTCTCAGGTAACATGCGCCACGACAATCACATAACGGCGCTACAAATCTCATCTTTCTTACTTTCTCTCTTTCTCTCTCTCTTTCTTTTTCACTCTCTCTCTCTCTCTCTCTCTCTCTCTCTCTCTCTCTCTCTCTCTCTCTCTCTCTCTCTCTCTCAGAATGGACAATCATAGCTACGGTATGCGAGATACGAGATAACAAATTTGTTTCACATTTACAAGTAAAAGAAATCCACCTTCGTAACAATTAGGTAGAATATTATTTAACCTTTAATATTATAATAATTTAATTATTGTTATTTGCTTGGAAGCTCACAGCCGACACATTTTTTTTAATTCATTATTATTATTTCTCTCTTCTTTTAATCTTATCTTATTTTCACTTGGGTATACGGGGCGCTCATCTTTCGTATTTCGGTCTCGGTTATTTTTTCCCCTCGATATTTAACAGCTACAACATGTACAACATTTAGCGCGGAAATTTTTCAACGAAAGGCATAACGAAATCCAGTTATCAGTCCGCTCTACATTCGAAACACGCGGTGAAATATAGATTCACGGTTACTCTAACGAGAGAGAAACTATAAGTACGGATAATACCCCCGTGGTCTACGGGGAATAGAAAACGAAAAATCATGGAGATGTGGCAGTGCCTTGAGCAACCGTTTATGAAATCAATCCTATCTCGCCTCCTGTTACCCTTCTGCTTTGTTTTTCATCTTTTTTTTGTTTTTGAACACATGACAACACATCGTCTTTGTACGATAACAACGTTATTTTCTCCTTTTTTTTTTCTTTCGGTTCTATCTTTGCTAACTAATCTAGCCTTGCTCGCGAGATTCATGGTTTGTCGAGCCTATCACGCATATAACATTGGATATACTGTAATAGATATATATATATATGTATATTATATAACGTAGATATATATATATGTATGTATTTATGTAAATGACGTATCGTACGTATAATATATATCTGTGTGT